GACGCTCTCAGTTCGCCATCATCCTTTACAACTCAATCAGCTGGCAGAAGCCGTGAAGCGACGGCGGATTACTCCTCTAATTACCGTGATCCCAAGTGGTTGACTATCAGACGGGATGTTAGAATTCTGTGCAATGAGGATTTGGTGACCCAGCAAGAAGAACACTTAAGAATATAATTTTGTTAATGATAAAAATAATACAGGTGATCCTTGAGATAAGTGCCATAGCCAACGACCACAGAATCGAAGCTAAAAGCTATTTTGACATTTGACAAAAACTGATAAACAATTTACAACAACAAAGAAAACTTTCATTAAAAATAAAGAACTATCTGATAATTGTAATTTCCATCCATTAATGAATTAAATTAGGCATCGTGAGTAACGAAGTCAGTACTGAGTAGGCATACAGTTGTCATTGGTTTTCAAAAACCGAAAACAAACAATGTTAGACGTCAGTCAGTAACAAGTTAAAAGTCAAAAAGTGCCTTAGCTTTACAACGATGATACTAATTTTGGAGGCAATAAACAAGGCACGTAAATCGAAGGCCATCAAAGGCCAACGAAGGCCAACGAAGCTTGATTAGAAATAAAAGGCAAATTGCGGTGACAAACATGAAGCTAAACAAGCCCATAGCTAAAATAGAATTTCATTCACTGACTTAAAGAGACGCAGTTAAAAGTATTGTACAATATAATATCATCGCTAATAAAAAGTAAGAAAATAAATTAATATAGCAATTGATTTGAATCTTGTCGATATTTCATTTATCATCTAGCCAAATATTTATGGGGGGGAGGGGTAAACGGGAAGAGGGTCCTACGCACGTTTCACGGACATCAAAAACTGGAAATAAGGAATCACGGAGATTAAAATTCCGTGTTTTCCCGGAATTAAATTCCTTTTTTTTTTACCTTTTACGCAAAAATTCTTTTTACCCCCTCTTATACCAACGCCAGTGCTGCTACGGTTGAATACAGTGTATCCTTTATCCAGAGGACACCCTTGGGACCGAGGCAAATGTCCCCTAAAATACACCTAAATAGAGGTGTCCCTTGAATTGAGGTTGGGTTGGGGTTCGTTAATTATCCGCCAACAAAGAAATGTATATAATTTTTTTCCTTATTTCTGCCTTGGAAGCTACTGCAGTTATAATTTCGAGTAGCTACTGACATGATTAACTTTAGCCTGCGCAGCACGCACGGGGCTATTTCTTCGCGTATTTCCCTCGCGCGCCCTATTAAACTAACCTACTATAGTAGGCGCCTGCTACTCAAGCTACCCGGTGATAACGTTTGTCGAATTCCCGTAAGCGCAGTACATCGAGTTAAGTGTGGTGAAAGTTGTCATCATTGTGATGATTGTACACTTATCGACTCTCCTTAGGGTCAGCAGTCACGCTGGTGTCCCCTGAATGGAGGTTAAACCTGGGTTTGAGGACCCGGAAAAAATGACCCTTACGCCTGAATAGAAGTGCCCCTTCAATAGTAACCTGTGGTTGGGCTCTATTTTCGCTTCGCTTTGTAAATAACATTCCGGCGGGCAACGCGAAACGAAAAGAGAGCCCAATTTTAGAGTGACGACGTACGAGAAAATAAATGAGAACCACTAAAATTGGGCCTGATCTCGGGTTACTTCAGTAGAGGGAACAGATACAAATATTATGTCCCGGGACCAAATTTTGTGTCCCCTGATTGTTAGTGTCGCTTGCATAGATAAGTTCGAAAGGAGAGGTTCCAGTGTACCGTTTACCGAAATCCAGAACCGAAGCGATGATGAGAGCATTCCTTTATTCCACTATTAATGAACTAAATGCTCTTAACTTAGAACCAACCACCTCCTTCACCTTAATGAAGACAACACTGACTAATAACGCCGCCTCAAATTATACGGTGGACAATTTTAAAGTTAAAAAGTTATTCTGATTGTTATAAATCCGCCCTTTTTTTTGTTGTTTTTTTAATATCATTGTAAATTGGATTCCTTTTTTTACCAATGTATTCACTTCCGTTTTTAACATCTCTCAATTTTTTAATCTTCAGAATTTTTAAGAACCTTTTATTATAATCACTAATTGTAAATAGGCCTTTTATCATGATTAATGTAATTTTATTGTTATCAATTTTTTTTTTTAGAGGGCCACTAGGGAGGGAGAAACCTGGAATTCTTAAGATCTTTTGTTATAATTACTATTTGTAAATATAGGCTTTTTATCGTGATTGTTGTAATTTATTATTATCAATTTTGTTTTTAGAGGGCCACTAGGGAGAATACTTCGTAGTAATAGGAGTCACCCTCTTAAAATAAAGGTTATTATTATTAACAGTTATGAAGCAAGGTGTTGCGACGCAGTTGATTGCTACCTTTTCCAAACAGTCACAAACAGCTTAGAATTTTATCTTCCAAAGGACGTAAACAGTTTTTTAACATGCACTCACATGGCAGAGTCTTGTTGGCAATTAGGCCGAGCGGGCCTGGGAGTCCTGGGAAGAAATGTCCATGAAGGGGGCTTGGAAATTAGTTATTCCTCGTCCCGGAAATTGTGATTTTTCGTTTTTAGAGGGTTGAAATTTCACTTTCACAGAAAAGGAAAGACGTTTGTCATGTTTTTAGGAACTTTTTGATTGCAATCACTTTGCTGCTTTGCTTTGTTACGTAAACAAAGAATTTACATTGTCTTATCAAAGAACCATCTGAATACACAGAAGATGTCAGGGGCTCCCAGTGAAAATCAGGTACTGAAAAACTACTCGATCATGATCACTCGTACGTTATGCTATATCCTACTTTTGCGTTTAAAATGCCTGAGAAATTTACGGACAACAGCGTATGCATTAATTTCAGAAATATTTCGACCAGTTTTTATTGTTTCATATGTCCAACGACAGAGATAATATTTAACAATTATTATTGAATGTTGAGCATCATCTGAATAATTATGGAGATCGAGGAGGGTGGATAACACCCCTGAGATCTCCATAATTCTTCAGATGATACGAAAGTCGAATTCACTAATTGTTTTTTTATTCATTCAAAACAATTCCTAGTTTAAAAACAAGCTAGAACATGTTTACCTTCATCGATGTTAAGTTCGTAGGTTCATCTTCGATAGTCCACTTTAATCGGCAAGTTTAGGGGGTAAAGGGTCGTTTAGTTTCGAAAATATTCTCCAAATAGCATATGTCGTCCTTCGAGTTGTCTTCTTGCTGTTCTTGCGATGTTTTTAGCCAATAGTTCGCCTATTTCTTGCTGCTGGTGAAACGAGTGAAATGTTCCGCCATTTTTGTTCTCACCAGCGACCAACGCCACGATAACAACTCAACCTCGTCTCCAGGTCTTCTCGGTTAACGATTCAGTAATCTGCAACTTTGCTGCACTTTTAATATAACGTCGTCGGTTCAATATGGCAAAATTCTTTCAAATTTGGTCGACAGTAGCTGGTCATGATCAATTATGTGTGTAATTTTAGCCAATCAGGGGCAAAGATATATTTTGAATGAATACAAAATTTCAGGCTATACAAAATTTAATTATTATAACATTAGTTTCGTTCCATCAATTTATATTACACATCATTCCTGTCCATATACCCCATACCCCTGAGGGAGTTATAATAAAATACCCGGGTTCAATAAAGGCTATCTTCACACTATAGTGGAAAGCTTTTTGTGCCGACACAAAAAACTATCCAGTGTAGTAATTGAACAGCAACAACCTGGGACCCAGAGTAAGTCGACCGTTCACACACATGTTTACACATGATCGTGCTGGAGTGGTTGGCCAAGATGGTTTCGGTGCACTAAATTCTAGTCCTCCAGTGGGTTCAAGTCTTCAATACAGTCTTATTACCTGATATTCACATTGCACCAAAGTGTGGAAAAAAACCTATTTAATATGTTATGCTTGTATCCACTTTGAGTTCACACAGCGCAGGAATCACATTACAGAAATCACACCAAAATCACTATTCTTATGTGAACACTACAGGCCCTATCTGGTATGGTTTTCGTGCTGGTGCAAATCAGCTATCCGATATAGTGTGAATATTGCCAAAAGCTCACTTAGGGTGCATTCGATTGGGAAATCAGGATTCAGATTTTGAAACTCGCATGAATTTCAAAATGCAAAAAACATTTGAAGAAATCCATCCTCAAGTTGGATTTCAATATTATTAGAAATATCCAAATCTGGATTTCTTGGATTCTTTCTTTACATTTTTTGGGGAATCCAGAAAGGATTTTCAAAACTGTTCTCGTGAACATCTGTCTTTTTTTCTACTTACTATAGTGTGGACATGCAGCTGCTGTCCTTGTGAACAGTTATGCTTTTGAAATCCTTTTGCAGATTTCCCCAAAAAAAATGAGATAAAGGAAATCCAGGGACAGATCTTTTGGTGTTAAAATTTGGATATTTTTGTGTTTAAATTAAAATCTGAAATCTGGCTTCTAAAATCTAAACCAAGATTTCCCAATTGAATGTACCCTTAACTCCTCTCTAAATCTGTCCTATTATTTATCCTAGAATTAACCCCCCTCTGGATTTTACCTGTTAATAAGAACTCAGCATTACTTTGTGAAACAATTAAACAAACTAGAAACAGCTTTATTTTGAATTATGAGAAAAGCCATAGATACTCTCCCCTTTTTCAGTATTTGTTTTAAGTTAATTAGTGAAAAGTGTGCTTGTTATCTAACAGATGGCTCCTGAGAAACATGCATTTTTGATTGGCCCAAGTTATGCATCATTTGTTAAACCTCCCCTGGAAGGTGTGGGCAATGATCTGCACATTATGAAAGGCATGCTCATGAGGAATGGGTTCTTTTCACAGAATATCAAGGTTTGTGACCATAACAGCTTCTGCCAATTTTATTTTTATAGACAGGTTGTTGTACATTTGCTGTATACAATACTCACCATTATACCTGTTTACTAAACACCCCAGAAAGGGGTGGTGGGGGTTAACTCCCCAGTGGAATTGACAGGCGGCTTGTCATCTTACCATATTTAGGCTGATGTTAGAGTTGATGTGGTACCTTAATTTTAGAAACTCTTTCTTTCTTAATAAAACCTCTTTTGACTATCTAGCTTAGCTTGGTCAGCAACAGCAACAGTTTATACCTGCCAACTTTTTCTGAGATATAAGCGTGAGATTTTTATCCTGGGAGTGCTGGGATTTTTGAAGACGACACGATCATTTCCGAAGATTCCCAAAGAATTCCGAAGTCTTCCGAAGAAGTCCGAAGTCTTCCGAAGATGTCCGAAGTCTGCCGAAGGCTAAGTTTTCACTTGCTTTTCACTTCAAAAATCAGAGATCGCGAGGAAGGTATTGTCATTTATTCATTTTACACATGGTTTTCGTTCCTTACACGGGTTTGAGTTAACATATTTTTGGAAATTGTGTCAAGCAAGACGGCAACAACTCACATTTTTCAATCAGGCGTGAGAAATTGGCCCGCAAGCGTGAGCCGGCGTGAGATCGAAGTTTTCAACCCGCAGGCGTGAGACTCACGCCTAAGGCGTGAGAGTTGGCAGGTATATGAGTTTTGGGACCATTTATTTTTTATTGAATAGCTGGGGCTGGTGGGGGGGGGGGTGGTGTTTATTGGCTGTTCCTTTAACATATGACGCTCCCTCTTAGCCTGCAAATGCTGACATAATTTCTGGTGGAGAGAAGTGAAAGAAGAAAATTTTTTCCTACCCTCCCCACCCTTTGTAGTCCTGAGTATTTGGGATGACTGACCCTCCCGCTGAAGGAAAGCTGAAAATAATAAAGCTGAAAACTAAAATTTTCCAGTCTATACTTAATAACTAAAGTAATTTTCTGGTGGTCGGGCTTCAGGGGTATTTTCACCTGAAACTTAAAACTCTTTAAAATCTAGAGATGTTCTAATGCTGAATTTGGTTCACTCTGTCACTGCATAGACAAAATTAATTCCGTTTTTTAAAGCTATTTTTTAATACAGACTATTATCAGTAAGGTTAAGTCTTTAAACGATAGGCCTAGAGAGGCCAAAGAAGACTTCACATAACCTTGACAATTTGAAGTTTTTGTTGTATTTTACAAAAAAACAGTTGGTGGGGTATAAATAGCATTATTAAAGCAAAAGATGAGGTAGGATTTGCAGGGGCATTCTACCTAGTAGTCGTCAGAAACAGTAGTGGGATTATACTATACGTGGGGATATAATGATATCGCGTTTTATCTTTTATTGTGGGTGATTCATGGGGAAGGAGCCCATTTGCAGGGAATTTTTAAAATTACCAGTACAGTATGTGGTAATAAAACATATGTTTTTGGGAGGAGGGAGAGGCTGGCCAGTACTTTAGAGTGCTTTAATACACCACTGGTACCTTCTATTAATAATTTCAGGTACTAATGGGTGCCGAGGCGTCTCGTGAAAATATTTTGAAATTCCTAGCTGAGTTTTCTTCAAGGATGGAAAGAAGATCTATTGTTGTCATTTACTTTAGTGGCCATGGATATGAATTTGTGGAATTTGACCCTCAGAAAAGCGGTCAAAAGCACTTTGACCAAGGAATAGTTCCTGCTGACCAAAATGAGACAGAGGTAGCTGCTGGTTTATTTACCTTTTCTGGAGATGTTTTTTTTTTAGTTCAGTCATTCTGTGTTGAATAAAATAAAATGAAATACAATAATATTATATATGGCCCCTTCTTTTCAAAAGTTAGGATAAGGTTGGTGTATAGCCTCATAAGATTATTCAAGACTGAGCAGTATATTTTCTCATTTTTCTATCTTCTCAATTTGTACTGTGTGTTTCTTTCTTGTCGGTAAATCTTTTGAGGTCATTATAGTTGAATCTCGACCTGTGTTTGTCACTAATTATATTAGGGAGCTTAAGCAACTACTACTACGACGACGACCACAACTTTACGAAACGATAGGTTTAATGATCAAAACAACAGCTCATGACAGCCCTGCACGTGGATCACGATTTTTAGTACATTTCGGCTTTGACGTCCACTGCACGACTACGACGTGAATCCTCCTACTTGACCACTCCTGAAAATACCATAACACACCCATAATGCTCTATGTTTGTCACCCCAAATTTTGCATAAACATTGTTTTCAGTTTCTCTTGGGGCCATTTTAACTCCCAAGAGAAACTGAAGACAATGCTTATGCAAAATTTTGGAGTGACAATCAAAGAGCATTATGGTATGTTATGGTATTTCTGGAGCGATCGATTTGACGTTTCATGGAGGACGTGGACATACGACCACGAATTTTCCTTCCTCTTTTTGAACTTGAATAAAATCCCTAAGAATTCAACTTCAGGAATAGTCGCCTGCATTTGACATTTTGGGCGGGTCCAAATAGACGCGATTAAGTTTGAAAGAACGCAAATTCATTTTTTTAGCGACGTTAGTACCAGGCCTCCAGGGGACCGGCGCCTGTTGGAGCGAGCTGCAGTCGTTCTACTTTATACTTAAGTTGTTCAAAGCTGGGTTAAGATAACCCAGGGTTAGTGCGAGATTTGAATTCAGATTTGAAAGTTTAAAAAGCATTTCAGTTTTAATTCTGTCTGTCTACAAGTTGATGATTGGAAGCTCTAAAAATAGCAGAGAAAATTATCCGAAAAAATGCTTTTGAACACGAGAAAGAGAAACCCGAGTTAAATTTAACCCCGGGTTAAGCGCTAATCGGCTTTCGAACAACTGGGCCCAGGACTGTGGGACTATGAAGAGTGAAAACACATTTCTCATAGACTAACTGATTAAGCAATTTGCGCGAGTCAAACTTTGCATTTGCAAAGTCGCATTTTTGCTGGTTATGCCGCTAAAGGTAATTGAACGACAAGGCGTAACTCTAAAAGGGCATTTATTTCATGCTTCTGTTCATCAGTATTAACATCCTCAGTATATACTTTGATTTTCCCTAGTTCAATAAAGGTTTTGTTCGTGGTAATGCTGTTATAACGGGTGACCATCTCAAGCCCTACCTTTCTGAACTAATCGAGAAAGATTGTGCAGTCATTACTATTTTCGACTGCTGTTTTTCTGGTCGCATGTATCGAGGATTCTCTACGGGAAATAGCTCTGCTAAAACTGTAAGAAAGGTAAGATTATAACTGTTATAAGTCCCATCAAAACAGGTTTTACAGCTATCTACATGGATGTCCTATAGTCATATCCCTTTGACCTAGAGTTTGCTTTTCTTCCCAAAGAACACTTGATTTTGTACCTAGGTTATCGCTTTTTTTCCTGCAACAACACTTCTGTTTTTTGGATAAACCATTTTTATATTACTAGAGCAGTTATCAAAAAAGGTTTTGTTATATACCTCAATCTCTTGAAACTCGTAGGTTGTTGAAGGTGTTATTGTTTTCTGCAGCTTACATTTCCTAAGGATCTTTTACAAAGCAAAACTAGAGGACCAGGAGAACCAGTGGAACACGAAGAAGAGGTATGAATATACAAGCCGGGACAAATGTTATAATCTCACTGATTACACGCAACTACTGCATGTTTGCTAGGATATATAAGTGAATACGGATAGAATCTCGGTGACCTGAAAGTTTCCCGATATTTTAAGGACGTCTAGCTCGGACCATCTAGAACTTTACACACTTCAGTCATGATGACGACATTTTTTGAAGTGTCACTATATAAAATAAACCTTCCCTTTGCCTATCTTTGGGATGAATAGTAACTACTATGCTGGTCAGTTTCTTCGTGAAGCTTTTTGAACTGGTGTCAGTGGCTTTAATTTGCTCTGGCTGTAACCGGTTGCTCTGCTCTCTAAAATCCTCTGCAGTGGCGGCATTATATGGTAAGGGTGAGCGAATATTCTAATCAAGCCTGCAGTTTTGAGTCATCAAATCTAAATACTCTTTTTGTAAACAAGTGTAATTAAAAGAATCGCTTCTTACGTTATAGCTGTTATCTAATTTTCCACTACCTTAGAACCACTTATGTTCGGCAAATAATGAGTTTCGTATTGTAACTGACTTCATTTCACTATTTATTCGTGAAATTTAGCCAATGGAGCAATGTCAACAAGAAACTCATTGCCCAGATCCAATGCATTCATATTCACAACTAAATTACCCAGTCCAGGAATTTTGGACACCTGTGTGGAGCGCTTTGGATTCTCCACAGTCCGATAGGCTCATTAGTATTGCAGCAAGTAGTTCTGTAGAGGAGGCATGGGAATTTCAAGACCCCGAAACCAATAAATGGTATGGCCGCCTAACCTATGCTCTCGTAGAAGTTATTGATGAGATGCAAAATGCGGGCAAGAAAATGTCCTATACTACGCTAAAGAGGTAAGAATAAGTGGTATGTGATGGTGGTTGTTTTGAAATTAGTAAATGCTATACAGTGATTGAATGATGTCAGGGGCGTATTGTAGCGTGAGATCTTGAAGGTGTACGCACGAGAAAAAGGTCCAAACTTGGGGGTCTGGGGGAATGTTCCCCCATAAAATTTTTAAATTTGGTATCTCGAAAAATGCCATTTTCTACAATTTCCTCAGGAGTTTTCAGCAAATGAATACGAAGGAAAATGCAGTAGTTGGTTGTTTAGTTTACCCATCACTGGTGTTATCGCTACCGAGCATACAGCGTGATTAAAGGGACAAGTGAGGGGAGGGGAGGGTGACACTGTGAGGGGGCAGGGAAGGGGAAATTGTTTTCGTTTTTCATAACGTTTCTTGCCGTCCGGGGTAAACATGTAATAAAGGATAAATCAAATACTGACACAAAGGCACCCGCCAATACGTAAAATCAAAAATTTTTTTTTACGGATTTCAACTGTACGCAAGGGTGTATGTCCGTATATAGACGCTATGCTCCTGGATGTTTTTTAAGATGTGTTCGTATGGTGCTCAAATGAAACATTTTTTTTTGTGAAAATGATTTATCCCAAGATGTCATTGATTTTAAGTAAAATAACCTCAATATATGTGTATCGTTAATGGGGGAGGGCGTACTTTAAATATATTTTAAACAGTACCATTTATTACTTGTGTGAAAAGCAGATACATGAAACTCATATTGATTTGTCAGAAAATTTCTTTTTTTAGGCGCATTAAACTGATGTTTACAGAAAAAGGCTGGGACCAAAATCCACAGTTTGAAGGCATTTGCATGGACATGGAATTGTTTGGTTTTCAAAATATTAAAGGTAATAGTAAAGAAATTTGAATTACAAAGGGTTTTAAAATATGACATTTTCCAATGTTTCAGTAGTGTCTTTTGTTTGGTGGGATGGGGAGGGGGGCTGTGGAGGAAAGATCGCTCTGGGGCCACTCCTAGATTACTTCACTCTCGAAGCTACAGTCCATAGGTTGTTGTCAGCGGCTGGTTAATAGAAAACCACTCAAGGCGGACACAATTGGACACAATCCGACTTGAGTAAGAACTGCCCAGCGGTCCCTTAGGGCCCTATGAAATACTCGCCTTTGAAAATATCTCAATTTAAATTGAATCACGGTCTCAGCGTTATTTGGTTCAATTTGACAGACTCGAGTCAAGGCCAAATTGTGGTTCTGATGCTAAGGGAAAATAAAACAAAAGGATAACTCATACCTCAATGTGTTTTCTTTAATTCATTCTACTAAGCCTCCAAGCAAGGTATTAATTTTAATCTATCGAAATAGGTCAGTTCTTATTACATTTGTATTGAAAGGAAATGCCTTGTTTATATTGGAAGTATTGCAGGCCTCCTTGAAAGAGAAAACTTGGTGACTTCGAGGACGTGAGTGATTTCATTTCTTGTTTGTCAGAAAAGATTTACTTGAAATACTGTTCCCTTTGTTAATTTTTACAGGTTCTCAGCCAAAGTCATTTGAAATTTCTGAAGTCATGGTAGAAAACGGATTTGTGAAGGTTATCCTCAATGCAGGAAAGTTACACGGTGTTGTGGATGGGCAATATAACGTATATAAACCTCATATCGCAGAGGAAGAAGCCAAATTGTATAGGTGTATTGATACGATCGACGTTACGGTGAACGATATCGATATGCTGAAGTCACGTGGTGCAGCTATGTATAAAAGAGATGCAGGAGGACTTAAGGTATCAGCCTGACTCAACAAAACCTCGATCGATGACTTAACTGTTAGCCTAAACTAAATGAAATTGTTATTGCAAAGAATATTTATCTGTCAGTTAAGATTTCATTCCAGTTGGGGGTTAAGGAGCATGTAATATCTTTATATGAATTAGGCAAATCATCATCGTAATTTACCGAACTGCAGTAAATAACCGTAAAGTAGGCTGTATTAAACCGTTACTTTCTTCTGCAGTATTTTTCACAATATTAGTTTAAAGGATTCCTTTGACTTTAATAATTGTTAGCTCGATTATTGTAGTCATCTTTCGTTCTTTCGTTTTACGTAGGTTGGCTGTAAAGCTATTCTTACCTCTCACCATAGTATGTGCACACCAGTGTATGTCAAATGGCCTGCTTTCCCAATGGACCAAGAATGTCATGATCAGATGAGTCTGGTAATCGAAAACCAGGGCATGTTTTCTTTAGAACGGGAGGAAAGGCCCCACAGTGTGACACTGGATGTTCAGCAAGTTGAAGGGTACGTGATTGAACTGTGATCGAATACATAAAAGAATACATGCCAATGATAGTTAGAGGGCGTACGTTCAGTTAAAGGGCTGAAGTAGACATCTTTTTTGATTCTTTGTGTTTTACCCTTACGCGGCTTACCAGGCCTTAAGATATGTTTGCTCTTCTTCTGGTCTACTCCGTTTATGAAGTCAAATGCTAAGTCAGAAGCTAAGTTCATTAAAAGTCCATCAAATTAATCACAGTTCAATTAATTGCCTTCATCCTTTTCATACTTACAGCAAAAATTGTTGGCGAGCCTGTCAGTATGGTCGAATGATTGTACCTTATCAAGAAAGCGGAGACGAGTATCTTATGCTGAAGAATTTGGCCAAGTATTTTCGTCACAAGTTTGCTATCGGACGGAAGTGGACCAATGACCGTATGCTAAAGAACGTTAGCTTCAAAGTGTTCAAGGTAGAAAATGTACCATCATTCAAGGGTTTACCGGGCAAGAAGAACGAGCTGATTAACGAAGCAATAAAGACAGGTGATCTGTATAGCGGCGGTATGTACTGTTTTGCTGTTGCTGCGATAGTCTTACTCTTTTTCAACAGTTCAATGTATCAAGCCATTAATCCTTTAAGCCCCAATATCCACAAACCAATTCTCCAAACTGATCTCTATACATTTCCTTACAGAATTAGTTGGGAGAAATTGATAAAAGATCAGAGATTTTTCTCTTTGTGATCATTTGATTAATTCTCATAGATGTTGCACTTGACAATCTATGGATATTGTTAGGAGAAAATTGATGTTGGTCACTATTAGGACTTAAGGGGTTAACGTACTAAGAATATTTATATACTTAAAGCAGGGGACATCATTAGTGAGATAACTGATGAGTAACCGGACATTCTATCAACTGTAAAACGATAATCATAATACCTGGGCACCCGGTGGAGAAAAAAGAAACACCTCTCTGAACTGGAAAGGGAACCTATGAGTTTGGAAGTCTATTGCAGCCTATTCGTACCAAGAGTTAAATACACTAACACAAAATTGGCTAAAGACGAAGCCAGTTACTTGGCAACTAAAGTGGATGTAAAATTCATTTTTGGTTTGAACAAGCCGGCAAGAAGTGTTGTGCTACTTCTCAAATTATTCTATATTTAGTGCATGGTAAAACGAATTTTGAAGGTATTTTGAAGCCTGTAGGTCCACGGTAGTCTCTGATCAGACACGTGTCCACTAGGTTTCGAGGAGCATAAAAGGCTCCCATCGACCTACAGCTCAGGTGATCAAATAAAGGCATATCCCCAGGAAAAGAACCGTTGTGTTATCCGTTTCGTTCGAGTAATAACCTAATTGCAGTTGAACCTCTCTAAACAGCCACTTTGTTATTGAGTCAAATGGCCATTGACTGTGTAGAGAAGTAGTCATTAGTTGAGATAAGAGGTTAGTAGACTGGGATAACTGACCACCTACCACTCCCCTAAGTCAACATCAACACATACTTCTCGCTTAGGGCAAAATTGTGACTTATGGGAGGGGTAGGCTGTCTGTTTTCCAGAAACCTCAAATGATCCGTAGACCGTGGGGGGTGAATTTCATTCTTTGCCTTTCGCAGAATCTTCGCAACATGAAGTCCCTACATTTCGCGCGCACCAAGTTGAACTGAAAAACGCGATGTACGGTTACTGGAAAAAGTATCAAGTTATCGATGGCTCAGGTGATGCAATAGTGATAGAGATCACAAATAACGAGACGATTCCAATTTACGTATGCGTGATGTCCTACCAAGCTGATGGTTCCATTGTGGTCTTACACCCACATAGAGACGTAAGCATCTTATACGGTTCCATCAAATTGTGATCTCTTTCAGCCAGTTTCATTTCAGAAAATGTCAGTTTGATCCTCCAAAGAATACTCATGTTACTTTGGGGTTGCATTGATAAATACACTATCAATCAATGCAGCGAAACCAATTCGAAAATCAATCCGATTTTATTCCAACTTTGGCCTCTCAATTTGTGTCAATTTCCATTCATCATGGTCATTTGTTCGGTACTCCCGCGCCTTACATTTCATTTTTCCCCCCGTCAGATCAGAATACTGGCATACTTATGCTTTGCTATTATCAGTCTCAAGTCTAAAGACCAGGGCCCAGTTGTTCGAAGGATGGATAGCGCTATCCATTGGATAAATCTCTATCCAGTGGATGACGCAATTGGTTTTCCTAATACTTATCAACTTCATGGTGATTTATCCAATAGATAGCGCTATCCAGCGTTTGAACAACCAGGGCCGGAAGTTCAGACTTTTTATTGCAACAAGTTTGACACTTACGTTGAGGCATTAAAACGTCGCATAACGTTCCTCATTTTAGTTTTTCTTTTTATTGCAAAGAAAGTAAAACATGCAGTCTTAAAACTTTAACGTGTTGTTTTCTGCGTGAAATCAGGTGTGCCATAACTTGCAATGCTGTAGTGGAAACTTTTCGGCAATAACACTTTCGTAAGTGCAAAGGGGATAATCTTTTCTCCATTTACAGTGCACGGAAGAAGGCCAACGTTACTCGTATACCTTGATAGGTTGTTTTCTTTGCAGTATTTTAATCGCCCTTGGTATAATTTATGGCTATTATACGTTTTTAAGATCGTTCATTATCAGCGAGTTAATGTCAACAGTTTCACTGGTTTTTATCTCTGTGATTTCCATTTTGGATCCTTGTTCAAATTTCTAGGGTCAAACTGAGGTTCTGAGGGAAGGTGAGTCGATGAAGACGATCAAGAGAGTTCTTCTCGAACCTGAGACAGCCCGTCGGATGGCTGAACCAGATTTTGACAAGCCGAGACCCGAGTATTGCGATGATGTACTTATTCTGTATGCTACATCGGAGGCCACAGACTTCAGCCCTCTCATTCAGACGGCGATCGAGCTTAGTCCTAAGTTAAGTACAAGAGGACCCAACCCGCCAGATGTACGTAGTTTTAGCAATCTAGCTCTCTGTTACCCAAGTACCATTACTTTTAATAGTTTTCTAATTAAAACGATAACAACAACAGCAGAAGTAGCAAAATATCATCCCTTAGAATGTCATTAACAAAGATAAGGAACAAACCACGTAATACCCCAAAATAATATCCTTCATCCACCACAGGATAGTAGAGAAAGCCATTTTTGACAGCGTTGCAAGTGATACCTATAAAAGGTGTGTCAAATCGAGGGGAGCTCCCCCATATTTTTTCAGACCAAACTGAGACCTCAAGATTTGGATCGCCACTGAAACACTACTGCTAAATTTGGTTATGGCGTAAATCATGGAAAAATTATGACTGTATGGCACTTTAAACACACAGTTATTATCAGGAAGTTTAACTTCGTGATATTAAACCGTGATTTGCTTCGGACTCAAGAGTACAAACCAGTTTTACAGCAAAAGAAACATTATCGATGAGACGTAATATCGGCTGACAGCTTTTACTTGCGTCACACACAAGACTTTAAACTTAGAAACGTCTTTCGCATCATAATGACATTGACTGCTCAAATCTGTAATATGGTAATTTATTTTGTTATTGTGTGTTGAAGACTCCATCCACAGATTCAACAGGACTGATATTTTTCTTTTTCTTGTTTTACTATCTTTTTTTACTAGGGGTTCCGCCTTACCTTTGCGAATAATTTTAGAGACGCTCTTCGACCTCCACGCTCTGGCCGACAAGGACAGAAAGAATCCAGTAAATGGCTCACTCTCAGAAGGGATATCAGGATTTTTTACAATGAAAATCAAAAACATTGAAGAAAAATCGGGTTTCAAAGTGTCATGGTCAGTCTGTTATTCGTTTCGTTACTATCTATGACAAGTGATCATAGGCTAGATCAGCTGGGCTTCCCCAAACAGTAACAAAACAAAACAAGTGCTTTCCAGGGTCAGCTTTAAATTTTAGCCTTAATAATGTTGTCAGCGGTGTCAAGAAAAAATGAGCAGTTCATTTTCTCTTGGTGGTGTTTAATCTCAGCAAATGGGTCCTTTGTAGCATAACCGACTCATTTGGCAATAAGTCTTAAGAAGTATATATAATAAAAACGAAATTTCGATTAGTTGGAACACACTGAAAAGAAGTTAATTGTGTAGTTCACCTATGTGTCCTATATATCCCATCAGCACTTTGAATGATCACAGTACGTTGATAGTTGAAGCAAAGAGTCATGTCAAAATAAGGTTAAATGTATTTGACTTGATGAGAGAGTCCGACCTACCTTAGCGGAAGTCATCTTACTTCCTCATGATGACTTCCGGCTCTGTAACCAACACATCTATTCTGGACAATCAATTTAATTGTAAGACGAATTTAATATTTAATACGAAGGTAAAAAAGATGCTTATACATGTATTCTGCAATTAAGTGTCTGTTTTTGGTCGGCTTTTGTAGATACAGCAAAAATGATGGGCCCTATGCAGCAATCAGTAAGAAGTTTTTACAAAAAAGAGTAACAAATTTATAGAAAAACATCGTTAATGACAATAGTTAATTGAACATGTAAAAGATAGAAAAAAAGGATATAGAGAGATCTTAACAAAGCATGAATTGTTTAATATTGTCTGGCCTATTTAAGGTCTATTTTAGATTTTTTCTGTTTCCCTTATTTAGTTGTAAGGATTTGAAAAATCATGTGATGTTTTTGTAATGTTAAACCTATAGAAGGTACATATATACAAATTTAAATAAACACAACAATGGGCGATTTACAAGACTCTAGTTAAAATAAATGAAATAAAGAATACGACTGTGGCGACGACCAATACTCCTAGCTTGAGTCTGCCTTTGTTCCCCTTGAAGTTTCCCTTTTCTTTGTTTTTTTTGCAGTCGTCAAGAAATGACTTTGTCCTTCCTTTTTTGGTCGCTTGCGAACAGACGTTACGCTGTTGAAAAAGACGGTAATCCATCACCTGATAACTATACACTAAGCTGCCCGAGTCAATCTGACTGACTTTTTGATAACAGAGAAATTAATTTGCGTCGCGTGATGCGTGATGTTAACTAACACTGCCGCTATCCGTTTCTAGCCCATTGCAGGTGGGGGAGTTATTAACCCCTTAAAGCAGAATAATTAACAATTATTGGACGAGGTTGAGCAAAATATCGTGATTTGACCGAGTTTGTTTTTTTAATGAATATCCTCGGGAAGCGAAGCGATCTGCTATTTTCACGCAAGAGCGATCGCAAGAAGGAGAAAAGCACGGTTTCCTTTACGCATGTGCAGAATATTATTTGCAGCCAAACACAGTTGGACGGCATTGCGCATGAGCAGACTATTATTTGAAGGCAGTTATTTGCAGGTCACGCGGTGGGCTCTCGGCCAATGAAAAGAAAGAAAAATTTGCTTCGAATGATAATTGATATGTTCTTCTTTCTTTGTAGTCCACTTTGTAACTCCAAATCCTATGCAATACATTATCAACATGTCGCAGTTCATCTTTTTCCTGCGCAAACAAACCACTGGTTAAGACATAATATCAGCTGCGTGAATTGTTTTCCTAAAAAAATATCGCGTACTTTACCTTACTTACTGCTTGAAAATCAGGAACATCTTTTAAAACTTGTCCCGTAACCTGATGGCAGTGATTGATGGGGCCGGTACTCAAAGATTGGTCGATGACTGTATCAAAGCCGGCTTTACCGTCTACCTCTGTAACATTCAAAACATCATGTAATGAGGTCTTGTATTATTACAAAACCATGTGATGTGATTCTGCTGCCTTGACATGTCATTGTCTATTCCAAGAAAGGCAGCCGCTTATATCAGTTCTCTCCACTTCAAATGAAAATAGTGGGTACAAGTTGGCAACCTCCAGAAGCAACTACAAGTATCAGGGGCACCCAACGACAATTTTCGGAAGAATATCTGTTCGGAAGACGATTTGAGATATAGAATTTTCGAAACATTTCTTGTAAAATTTCTTGCTTGCCTGCCTCTCCTAGGATTTTCGAACATCTAAAAAATGGTATAATTGCCTATTGTTAAAGGATTTTAACTCTAAAAAGGTCACCTAGAATTTTCGGAAGCCTTTTTCTGGCTGAAATTTTCGAAAAGGTAAGTTTTGATCCCTATAATTTTCGGATCACTAGACTTTCAGCTAGGAAATCCGAACAGATGAAAAATTTTTAGGGGATAAAAATATGCCCATATCTACCGTTTAAATACTAAAATACGTTTAACAATGCTATGTTTAAGTGGTTTTGAACTATATTCTCGTTGGGTGCTCCTGAAGTATACTAACAGATAGTCGTGATTTGATTTCACGAGAGAACAGAACTCCAAGAAAGCGTGGTACATAGCTGAAACTAATTAATCCAGCGTAAGCACCACGAGCGGGTACAAATCAAAGGTCATTATCAGTTTTAGTGAGACAGTACAAAATACTATCCTCTACCTACGCATGTTCATGTTGCCGAAGTTTTGAGGACCATACATACCGCGATTGCTAACTCTCGCTTTGATTTCTATCTTTTCTTCCATTGTGTCAGACTTTGACTGGGACGCAGTTGCGATCACTTCTAAATCTCCTCTACTATCTAGTCTGTTCTCGCCCTGCACTCGTTCTGTAGCTTCTTCCCCCTCAGACCTCATTTTATCTGGGTGCCTCTTTCCTAAAAGAAAAACTGGATTTTACTAAATTGAAATCTAGTTTCAATTATCGAGTATTGAAGGTGATACATTATGCGCAGATTGGTCGATCTCTGATATCGCTTAATAGCTACAAATGAAGCCAATCTGAATTCTCTTTGACGAACTACATTCATCAGTCGAATACAAACACGTGAGTGAAAACTTAAAGCATTTAAGATTACCTCTTCTTGTTTGGAATGAGCAACAGGAGGGGAAAAAAGCTCTTTTTCTTCAATTGCAATTGATTGAATTACTAATGCAGTACGGGCGCTCCGATTGGCTGGAAAGCTGACTTCGTCTCGGGTCATAACTGTCTTGTTTATATCAGGCTATGCAAAAAAACAAAGCCAACGTTTTCTACCGTTTACTTAGAGCATTTTGGTTCATTAATACAACCAGCGAAGCGTTAATTGCTTACCTCTGACCAAGAAAAGCATATCTTTTACCAGGTTTTTGCATTGCCATGACCAGCTGAAACGTTGTTTGAAATCTTTCTTTAATGTTTGCGCGTCTTGCAACCTTTCTGCTCTGGGTTGCTCTTTAACAGCTTTGATGGCTGCAGCCCAGTCCCTCGCGTCTTCAGAGTTCACTACACATGAAGAAGCCAAACGGTTGTTCATCTTTTTAAGAGCTTCTGCCAGTCCCGAGTTTCCGCCAACAAGAATAGGTAAACCAGCAGAGAGGGCTTCTAAGGCAGTCAAACCAAAGCCCTCTGTTCTTGAAGGCATAATGGCGAGATCCACCTCACAAAACTGCCTGGCGAGTTCTACTCTGCTTTTGAACCCACGTACGGTTAGTTGATTTTTAGATATCCCACACTCGAGGAGGTATTGCGTCACCTTTTCCTTCTCACCCTTAGCTGCTCCAACAAAGCAAAGATGATACTTCGAATCCTTTAGTTCTGAAATCGCCCTCGAAGCTATGTCATAACCCTTGAGTTTAAAATCTTCTTGGTCACCACGACCAAACACCAGCACGTAAAATTTGTCACGATCTTGTTTCGGCTGCGTAAGTTTGTCAAATTCTTGAAAGATACAAGGGCTGGGCACTATTTCGAAGACCCTCTTCTCCTGGTAAGAGAGAAGATACCTTCTGAAGTCTTCAGCTAACTTCGGTCCAACAGCAACCACAAGGTCGGCCATAGCACTGAGCTGCACCTCCGTTTGGTGCTTATCTTCGCCGATGGAAATGTTGCGGCGGTAAGTCTTGTGCATCGAAAGTTCTTCCGGGGCAGTATGCTCAAACTGGATCCAGAGACACTCGGGGTATAACTGTCTGATCATTTGGGCTTGTTTTCCCAGCTTCGTTCCATGCCCAATCACAACGTCTATCCAAAAACTCTCATACGGACGAAAGCATAGACAATCAAGAGGTTCAAAACCGGGGCGTTTCTGTGCTTGTATTATAGTGATGCCATATAATCTGTAAGCCATTCTCTTATCGTCTTCACTACACTCAGGAACGTAAAGACTAACCTGCAGCTCCTGATGTTTTGCCAATTCTATGGCTAATAGTCTGTTCACAGTCGGCAGCCCGCCCTTTGATGAACCCCATTCTGAACATAACAGGGTGACTTGCACTTTCGATCTGTCCTGGTTACAGGTTGTCAAGGTCTGTTGAAAAGCTTAAAGTAAATATAGTCGTCTTATTAAAAGTTGTGATAAGGTGTCCTTGCCAATATGAAAAACACTTAAGAACACGAATATGGAAAAATCCGAATAACTTTTACGATCGAGTTATCAAACAGAACGTAGAGGACAACTGCATGTAAATGTCCTAGCGCTTTAGTTTTCTGTTTTCTGCTTTCGGAACCTCTCCTTCCAACTTCGCATTGTTGTTTCCAGGGGCCCGTTTCTCGAAAGTCCCGATAATTAACGGGCCCGGTAAGCTGTCTCCGTTTACATTAAAGATCGAGGCTTCAATAGTTTTGCATCTAGCATGACAAAACTATCAGTTAGTGAAACAAAATGGAGTAGTCTACTAGCCAGGACCAGGGCTCTCATTCTTTATATTTCGATTTGAATATTTGATTTCGGGCCCGAAAAGTTACCGGAACTTTCGAGAAACGGGCCCCAGGTCTTTGTCCAGAGCTGACTGAGCGTCCCAGCAAAACCATAACAAAGTTATGCCTCTACAACGTCGTACTCTGGAAATTTTGTTCGTTCATTTTACAGCTCAGGGACTCGTATTTTTAGTCTTACTTTACATCGTCTTTTAAGGTGTGATATTCTTGGTTGCTAATTCATAACTTTAAAATACTTGCAGAAAAATGCCTATTATTCGAAACAATATCACAAACGAATGATATCCATAAACTGTATGAACAAAAAGAGATATCCAAAAATTTGCTTACTTGGAATTGCGTTTTGTCGTACATTGTTGTTTTCCATGACCTAAGATGAAGAAAAAAGGTATTAGAGATGCCACGACCGGAAGATGATTTAGGGTGTGTTCGATTGATCGTATTCCGGAATAGGAATAAGCAGAAATTTGTGACAAATCTCTTCGATCGCGAATTTGTGGATCACTGGAATGTTACATTCATCTTAATTACTACATTTCTTACTAGATTTCTATATTTGATCATTCAATTGAAGCCAAAACAAGTGCTTTTTAGAGTTTATTCCAGGCATTATTATTGCGGAATACGGTCACTCGAACGTGCCCTAAGTAGCAGCTTGAGCACTTCACGGTAACCCATAATGAGTTAGGACAAATTGGGCTTCAAAAGTACCCCAGGGCTAGTCGTGTTCGCTTTCTCCGGTATTAACTAACTTCGTGGTGGAACTGGGTCCTTTATGAGTGGCCAATTAGTTTGCACAACCCAGGCAAAGTAGTCATGTTACGAGAGTCTCAATCATACTCTTTGGAACAGCAGTGTGATTTGACTGTTTATCGTCCCCTTTGAATTGATAGAATAGGATGAAGGATAAGCAGTGATCAGTTATAAATGAGTATAAAAAATGTTAGTTACAAACAAAAAAGACGCTTACATTCAGCCACTCGTAGTACGTTCCCTCAGGAATAATTTGGTCAGCAAACGGACAGTAGTATGGGCCGTCGGTCTTTAAAGGCACGTAGTGAGCACAGTCTTCGTGTCGACATCCTTGAGTGCCATGCCAGATACAAAGGCCTGCTTTGCCTGCGCACACTGGGCAGCGGACAGAAAGCTGCCATGACACCGTACGCAGCCAGTGGCAATCGTCACGAATTATTGTTGAGCAACTTTCCAAAAAGCTTAAATGAAAAAAAAAAAAAAAGAGATAGAGCTAGGACTTGTAACACACAATGTCAATGTCATTCTTTCACCGAAATTTCCACTGCATGAGGCTTGAAAATGGGATTATGCTGCTAACTGCAAAACACCTTACTTATTTTGGTGAGGCAAACAGGTCAATGTAGAGGCCTTGTGGAGTAACAATTTCTAATTCTCAGTAGGCATCTGTTTAATGGAAATATCAGAGGAAAGATAAATGAGACATGTCGCCTAAAGAAAGAACACCCCCTCTTTCCCTATGCGGTAAATTTTATCATCATGACAAAGGAAAAGCATCCTAACGTTTTTAAAACCTGTGGGTAAATTTGTGTAAAGTAAGTACGCCTACCTATAAACCTCCGAGTGGCATCCAGAGTCTCCATGAGAATCGCCCTGTCGGTAAATGTTAAATTCTACGACACTATTGTGGCAGACAATTTGAAGAGAAGTCTTGTCATCTAAAATAAAGCGAGCTGCATTGGAGAATTTCTGGGGCTGCTTACATGCCGTTTTGGACGCTGCCCATGATCCAAAGAGAGAAACAAGCTTTGGGAACAGCCCAGCTGGTACATAATCTGTCTTGAAAGTAAGGTAAAGATTTGGTGAACAAGTTTCATCGCTTGATTTTGGTATTGACATCAATTTATCTTCTGGTTTTGGCGCCAACATGCACGGCACAAGGTATTCCTGATCTTCACTGCTGCATCGACAAAGAAGGCCTAACCTCTCCATTATGAAAATCAATGAATGCTTGATTTCCTGCACGTCGTCGAGTGTTTCGCAAACGTGCTCTACTAGATCTGAAGCGAGAGTACCTCTCTCTCGAAGCTGCTTTCGGTAGTTGCGAATTTTCATGCTATCTTCTTTACTTGGTAAACCGTTGAGGATCTGGTGGAAAATATTTACTAGCCAGCGTGGATCCAACACTACCAAACCATCTGAATTTTCTGGATGACTGTAATAAACAACAGTGCCACGATCATGAAGAAATCGTAATAGCTGCTCGATGTCTTGTTCTTCTTCAAGCGTGCAAACCTTTTCAACAATGTCTCGTTGAAACGTTCCCCTGGAGACAAAATGCTCTCCGCCTCGAGCTTTTTCTTCGATCTTATCCTCTATATATAACCAAATAAGAGGAATCTCTTTCTTGGTATGTGGCATCATTTCGGCTTCCTCTAATATCAACTTGCGCAAACGTTTTATTCCAGAGTCTTCTTTGTCAGGTCCATGACCTGCCAACGTGTTGTTCACAACAACGCTCTTTCGAACATGCTCCTTCATTAAAGAATTGTCGCAAAATCTTTCTGATAGACATTCCATTTTATTCTCAGGGTCATCAGGTATGACGCAGTCTGCGTGAGTGCCCACAAGTATTACAGGAGGGAACGTTTTTCCTTCTATGGATTGCTTGAAGGAGTGTACAGTGTCCATAGCTCTCAGGATATTATGTAGACCAGAGTCATTTTCTTCCCCAGCATTTGCGTAAACATTCTTTGAGAGATCAAACGCCAAGAGGTACAAAGCCTCCGAGGTCATGAACATTGGATGCAAAGCCCTAACCACTGTTTCGCCAGCCAACTCCCCTATCACTGGCCATATACCATCCGATGGAACGACTTCATCAGCCTCAAGGCTTTCTTCGAGTAAATTCGCAATACCATCTGGGACTGCTTCAACCTCATCCCTCTCTAGCGCGTGAAGAGAGCTAGAGGTAGAATCTGATAGAGAGAAAGATGAATATGAAAGGTTTGAACCCAGCAGTCATTCCATAAGTAGGTTGAGTCAGGGTGAACGTAGTCCTGAATAGGACTGTTGTTGTTGACAGTGACTGACGTTTCGACAGCCTGTGCTGGAGTTATCTTCAGAGTCAAAGTGAATTGTATCACGTCAGTTGATGGTATTAAACACTGGTTGTGGATCTGATTGGTCAATTAAGTCGCGATGTTATTGGTCGTCTGTCAGTTAAGCCGTGATGTTGTTTGCTATCATGGCATTGTTTCGCTTCGATCCGTCTAAGTAACATTAATTTTTCTTTTGCACATAAAAATACTCCTCACTTGTGTACTTTCTTTAATTCTCAGTTTTAAAGTTGTAGGGTTTTCAAAAAGTCATTAGTAAAAACAGCGAGTTGACTTAAGACTTTTCCTTTACACTTACCATTGAGTTGATTCGTTATTGGTGGAGCAGCTGAGTTTCCAGTGGAATTCTGCACTTTTTCTAGCAAGTCTTGGTGCATTATCTTCACGCACTTGTCTTCAAATGCACTCGATTTTCTTCGAGAATATCTCCAGGGCTCTTCTTCAGTTGCATTTTGCAGCGGCTCGTCCATTTTCACACCATCTGTGCTTGGCTCGTCCTCATCAAATGCTTCACCTCTCAGAGCTCTTGCGACGCTAGTTTTTCCAGCGCGGTCTTGGCCGATCAAAAGGACTTTAACGCGTTTATCGTACGTTTTTCCTTTTTTTAAGGCTCTTCGATAAGCTGCCAATGCTGTTTTACCCCTTGCTAAGATGCTCTTGGGAATAATATCTACAACCAGAACATTGTCAAAGCAGTTTTTATTTAAACAATAGTAACAGTGAAGGGGGATATTGCAATCATTTTTCTGTTACATTGCTTACTACTTCCTTTTCTCGGTCAGACATAACCAAGACTATTTTTTGCTTGGCACCGGATAAACAAGTTTTTCTCAGTGCTGAAAGTTTTTATTTGTGTGTTTGGGAAAAAAACTAAAGCATGAACACCGCCCTTCTTCGAGGAATCACTTCTCATTTTAACAGTTCTTGTGTAAAGGAAAAGGTCCTTGAACAATAGCAACTAGGCAGCAGTAAAAATTAAGGAAAACAACAACAAAAAAAGCAAACAAACAAACAAACAACGAGATGAATGATTTTGATGCAGGCCTGCACATTCACAGAGTGACTCTCGGTCTCTCATTCCCAGCTCCATTTGAATTTTGGAAATGCTGGAAGTGCCGATACTTATTAAATTTCCGGCGGAGGGGGCGTTTTCTCGCCAATTCACTTACCCTTGTTTATAAGGCAGTGTTTAACCACCAGATCTTGTCGCTTCAAAGAACTATTATCAAGAGCGGCAGCAAGGCCTTTATAAGGCAGTTCTTTGTGTGGTAACTTCTCAAAAATAGAGTTGCTCAATGCGGCACCATCAGTTTCATCAAAGTCCTGCCCGACATTATGCCCTATCTGATCATCCGCTATGCCCAATAACGCCAGGAATTCTCTCACTTGTTTGGGATCTGAAGCTAAGTCGGTTATGATGGACTTGATGTTTTCGGCTGTCACCAGTCCTTCCTTCAACAAGCAGTCTGTATCTACAAATGTATCCTTCTTTTACTAATACAAAGACGGTGCTGTAGCAAGGTTAGATTTATTGGGGGAGGGGGGCAATCAGGAGCGCCGAAGGCACGAGCTGCTAGGAGGGTCCGGGGACATGCTCCCCTGAAGATTTTGAAAGGTAGGGTCTCTGAAATAGCATATTCAGCCTTCCGAGAGCATTAATTTCTAGGTCTCACCCATTTAAGAAATGTACTTTGTTTAAGATGCTCGCTTGTTGGAGCCATAAATGAATAATTTTCACGCTTTATTGAACCGAAATGAACACATTGAACTGAAGAGTAGCGTGAAGAGCGTGGCCGCTGACCAAATTAAACGTGCCTGTCAAGATTATTGGGGGGGGCCCAGGCCCCCCCGGCCCCTCCACATGCTAAGGCACTGAAAAACCACCGAAATCTGATCTCACTTCATGCAAGTTACCAACAGCACAATCAGTTCTAAAGGATTTTCGTTGTTGCCTTCACGTACAAATGCCAAAACAGTGACGACGAACACGAATATATATCAATATATCGAAAGTCAGAAAGAAGTAATGCTGTAGCAGTGTTATAGTATTTGAAAGTCCTCTACTGACGTAAAATGTCTTGTATTTACAATTTAGGGTTGTTTCTTAATACATCTTGTGTCTTCACCAATTTACTTAGGCCCCGTCCACACGTATCCGGACATGTTTGAATCCGCAACTTTTGCTTCCGTCCACACGTATCCGGTGAATCCCGTAGAAGAATCCGCAACTTTTTGAATCTGCTCTCCAGAGTAGAAATTATGAATAAGCTATGAATCTGGAATCGTGTGGACGCTAGTCCGGATATTTTTTCATCCCGTGACCAAACAAGAACGAGCCCAGTTCTTTACCGTGAAAGGCAGAGCAAAATTCGCGCGTTTTATGACGCATGCTCTGTTGCCAATATCCCTAGAGGAGTCCTGGATACTACAGTGAATCCGGATACGTGTCGGATACGTGTGGAAGGGCAAGTTTCATTTTCCGGCCTAAAATAAAGCAGTTCCGGCATTTTACTGTTTATGCGTGAGAGAGGCCTGCTTAGAGTCGGAACTGAGCAATTAACTCGAGGGCCGACTTACCTATTTGGTCTCCATCTGCGATTTCTTCTCTGCTTCTGTTTACTTCCGCTAGTAGTGTGTCCAAATCCATGGCCATTAGTTTTGTACTCTCACATGGCAAGATATTTGTAGCTTGACTGGGGTTAAAATACAAATACAAAATATAAAGAAGAAACACTTTTTATGTACATCTCCCAGTGAATAAGTCTTGAGACGTCTTTTTTCTCGCGAGTTTCTGGCATAGACCTGCTGCAGCTAAGACTCGCTGCAATAAGAAAGCACTGATGATACAGCAAATTGCAACTCAATGAAGCTTTACGATCTCACAAAAGGGTCGGAAACGGTCAAATCGAAGACCTACTGAGTCGGCGTTAGCTACAGAAGCAAAGCACGCTGCAACAATCTAACCGAGATCATTCACTAATCAAGGTAATGTATATAAACAGCATTTACTAGTTCACTCGCTCCGGCCGTCATAGTTCGTCACGGCTGTCGTCAAGCCACTTTGTATGAATACAAATCAGTTGTCCGCAGTGCTGTTTCTTTCCCAAGCATATTAAAATACTCTTAAACATTGTTAAAAGAAGCCGATACACCATTCTAGAAGATCGTCACTGATACTATGAAACCTTCCTGCCATCGAAATACGACACCCCGTTCTCAGTAGGAAACCATGAGGGGACTACACCCCTCAGCTCCCAGGCTCTGGTGTTCTTTCACTTTCTATTAAACGAAAGTAAAGTAATTCTGGGCAGAACGTACGAAACGTTCCACCAATAGTTTATGTAGCTGCATGGTTTCGACCAAGAGTCGTAAAGCCGACCCGTTACTTGCTATATCTGAGTAAAATCAAATTAAGTACACTCGAAAGCCAATATTATCGTTTATGTCCGATTCATAAAGGCCGTATAAATTTCGATTTGAATAAAACAAAGGAAATTTCATACCATTAGACACTGATTAGAATTCAATCTATAATACCTTCCTAATGAGAACCTCTATTCAATCAAGGCACTGCAGACTGTATGTAATATGCCGAAACCGTCTCTTTGTAAAATACGCAGCATACAAGTCCTTTCTGTTCCTGTAAAAATCGTTGACTGCTTGTTTGAGTGTATTAGCTGAATTAAATAGTTATCCGTCATTCGGTATTTTCCCAAATCTCTGATTACCACTTTCGCTCCTTGTTATTGGTCAAAAGTGAAAACTTTGACCCGACGCTTAAGCTAATAAAAGAACAACGCGGTCAATACAAAATGGGATCTTGTTTTGAAAACGTTCCCTCTTTTCTGGGAAACCCCCATCTGGGATATTTACGTATGCCACGAAACAGTGTTTCAAATTCAGTCGTTCTTGATATTTTTTGAATGGGCTTATCATTTAGCTTTTCGAGAATTTCACCCACCTAGCTACTTTGTACTGTTTTGCTTAAAGTGAATTTCTCTGCTTCATACAACACAGAGGACGTGATGTGTATCATGAAACGCATTTGTCTGAGAACAAAGACGTTTTGTACTATTAAAACATTGTTTCTTAGAAGTCCTTGAATGACCTTTGAGAAGGATCAATTTTCTCCGACTCAGTTTACAGTCGTGCTTAGTTGGGGAAAGTAAACAAGGCCGGTATTGGATCGACTAAAATTTGAAACACAAAGCTCAACTTTCTCTCATTTTAGGTACAAAAGACATGTTGACTTGGATAGAAAAGGAAATAAAATCGACCCTACTGTAAAACTCTTTTTGACAGGCTTTTTTTTAAAATACAACATCAAAAGTAAAGGTCGGAAATAGAGTAGGGAAATTGATGGGGAATTTTTGAAATATACATAACTTCCCATTCATAACTCGTTTCTAATTACCTTTCGCTTTTCAAATAGCTTGTTACTTTCCTACCAACAAAAGGTTTCAGTTTTTTCGGACATACATTACTGACCAATAACATTCATCAGCGATCAAAAGTCGGCGGGCGAGGTTTGTGATTGGGAGCCGTTTGCACAAAGGCTGAAGCAAATTACACTCTTTTTTTTTTATAAGAATATATTTTATAAGAATATCGAGGCTGAAATTTGCCAAATATTAAGAATATTTTAAGAATAAAGCCAAGGCTGAGATTTTGAAAAGGATAGATATAATTTTGTGTGTTGAAACATCTGTAAATACAATACAATTTTATGTTTTTAACTTAACCGTATAAAATTATTCCTTTCTCTGAACGGCGAAACTAGCCAACAAAACGAAAAAACCTGCACTAGCTATAGCGAAATGTTCAACGCTAATGTCAGTTCGATGAACGGTACATGTAATATATATACATATACCCCAATAAATTCTAAAACGGAAATGTCATAAGCTATAATTTAAGAATAATACAAGAATATTTTCAGCCTAAAATCGGCAGAAAAATAAGAATATTCAGCCTGGGCCGGAAAAACAATATTCTTATAAAAAAAAAGAGTGTAAAGAAGGAAGAGGGCGACGAAAATAAAATCCGGAAGCGCAAAACTGTAGACCCTGATTGATCTTCTTTAACATGATACCTCCTTGCGTTCTCAAAATGATACCAAAGAGTGTTTTGCCTCAACACCACAGGATAACCAAGCGCAATACGACGTTTGTAAAAAGAGAACACTGAGGTGCTGAAGAAAAGTAGTTGCGCTTATTCAAATATACTACGAGTTTCTGGGTTGTATGACCTGTTAAAGCTAGCTGTCTGTATACTTGTTAGGATATTTCTTTAGTTTTGCTGTCTCCTTCTGTCACCTTAATGAATTAAAACATTTCTTAAATAGTAACAAAAAGAAACGCGTTGACACAAGAAAAAATCTTTTATTCGCGACAAATGATGGCCACTTCTCTCGCGATATATTATAAGGTGCATTGCGACAAAAATAATTCCAAATTCTATAAAAATAATGTACAAATATCGATTCACATATTTAGCTCTTCAATTGAAAAACAAAAAAGAATTACCATGTGAAGAACATAGGTAATTTTTTTTTCCAATTTACGAAAATAAAGAGGTCGGGGTTCCAGAATTGGATTCTTTGAAGCCATGCAGGTATTAATCAAAAGGTGCTTGCGGGCTCACAGAACAGTGCAATAGAGGCAGCTTCTTCAGAACTGGTGTAAGAGTAAAATTAATGCGCAGATATTTTTTTTTTCATTTTGCGTCGACGGATACCATAAAAACTTTGTCCCTCTCTCGAGGCTTTATTCTTTCTCTGAAAGAGAAATAAATGACATGATTACTATAACGGATCTAGCTTGATGAACGTGCCGGTATTATTTCAACCATCCAGCATTAATGTCTGAAAACTCTGGGCCTGTCAAGTTAGCACTGTTCTCGCCGACATCCTGTTACAATCTTTGTACAGGTGGGGTAAGGGTGGTTAGAAGGGGGGCAAATAAGAAAGAGCTATTTAATGGACAACTGACTTCTCAGGTGACCACTACTTACGTTAAATACTTGTCACGTATAAGATCGTATCTTTTCGTTTTTGAGTTGAAGGAGCTGCAGTGTCCATTTGCGTGTTGTGCTTCTCCGTACCGATCAATATTGTAGCGACCTGGACCAACAGGATTCTACAATAAAAAAACTTTATTAGAGACATAAAACAATGAAATGGGAAAGTAAACGTTCCAATGAAGGTGGGTACCAAGTCAGAGGGGAAGTGAACTTGGATTGCATGTGATTCAATACACTCACCGTACTTCCGAGGAAAAACCGCCTGGCATGACGATCGAATCGTTCAGCAGACGAACCAAATGGTGGTCTCTTAGATGCTTCGGGCTTTGTGAGGTCCTGGGGCGAGTAGTTCCCAGGTCCTGGGTCACTCTGTTAAAGAAAAACTCTTGTTAAGTCTGTAAACAAGTACCAGTGTTTTCGATATGACGTGGAATGGAAGACCATTGTATGGGACACCCGTTGTGGTTTGATTGATTGAAGGGACCTCGGGACACGTTTCACGCTAAATTTTTTGCAGGGGTGGGGGTGACATCATCAAAACATCATCACGAATTTGCTAAAGGAAAGAGAGCCTGGGAATCAGAGATGGGTCGCACGCACACCGCTATGTTTGATTTAAAAAACGTACTGAGAGAAAAAAAAGTTGAGCATGTTTCGTTTCTCTGTAACTTACCCACAAAGATGTTATTTAGACTCGTCTTATAGCTTACAGATACTATTTCTTCCTTTGTCCCAATTTCCAACTCTAAGAAGCAGGTCAGTTCACTCTAATTCCCAGTTAACCTTGTATTTGGCCGGGGGGACCTGGTCAGACAGCAGACTTACCGGATCCCTGGGATATTGACTCAGCGTGGAACAGTAAACCCTGTTGGTGGGATAAGCCGGGAAACGTTCCACTTTAAGGAATGCTCCATGGTGGTTTTTGTGCTTGTCTGACAAAACAGAGAAAGAAAGAAAATAAACGTGACAATAAAAGTGTAAAAGATCAAAATATACGAAAAAAGAAAAATTCCAGGATGAAAACAGTTTTAAATAACTACCATTTAGTTCGTGTAGAAAAGACTTCAAATCATATTCACCAGGGCCAAGGTTCTGCTTTGCCTGTTGATAAAAACAAATTACAGTCCAATTAGAAACCCCAAGGCACATGGAGCAAAAAAATAACATGAAACAAAATGATGATGATGACAAGAACAAACAGGCACATACATGAAGAGGACAATAAAATAGATGATAAATAAAAGATTGACAACTGTCGAAGGCCCAAAAAACACGCAAAAAAGGACAAATGAAAATGATACTTTTGTGTAGGAAATATTCAACTGGTGCCAAGCCTTAATGTCATCACACCCAGTGAAAAATTATATACATGTACTATCTTGTTTCAATTTAAAGAAGTGTATGAGATACTACATGTAACTGTGACTATTAAAGACTAGCATAACTAGTGCAGTTTTTACTTCGTCAAGAAGTTGACTGGCAATAGCTTGGGGTTGACCGGATGTTTTAAATTTCTTCTTTAATCCTTTGTTCTCACCGGTAAAGCAAAGTAGCCTACAGAGATTGGCTTGTTTCTTTCACCAGTAAAAAGATCATAAGGACCTCTCTTGCTGACCACTCTTGCTTCCATTTCATCTGTAAAACTCTTCATCTCATACTGTCCAGGACATAAATGACTTCCCTAAAATTACCAGGAAAAATTGAATTAGAGTTTTAAAATTTCTCATTATTCATAACCATCCTGCACTCACAGATGCATAATTACCGGTATTTCCTTGAATCCATTGGAAGACTTTTCTGTGTTGTGCATCACAAGGGCTGTCAACTACCCACATCTTCAAATATTTGAGAATTGATGGGGAAGGGATGATAGATGGCGTCATAATGCACGGACGTGAAAAAACGTGCAAAAAAAGATGTTGTTGGATTATTGTAACATTTGACCTAATTGGTTTACTTCCCACCAATCACATTATTGCTTATATTACGATAGCTAATAGTACGATAGCTAAAACAATGCAAAATATCTGAACTTTCATTGTCAGAAAGTCAAATCTACAAGAAATATGGCATACTTCGGCGATTATCCAGGAGATTTCAGACTCTAATATGGAGACTGGGAGAAACAGTTCAAAATCTGGATTCTTCCGGATTATCCAGGAGAGTTGACATCCCTGCATCGCTGCCACACAGACTCCTCCAGTAACATTTCCTCATTATCTACTAGCCAACTATTGAAACTGGATTATAAAGGAGAATAACTTTTATCACAGCATTTAAAATGTACTTACCACTTCAGGAAGTTGTCTTTTGTAAGACTTTCCAGAATCAAGCATCCCAACATTACTAACTGATTTTACTTCCTTTTCTTCAACCAAAGCACTTGGTATACCACCCTCTCCATAGGTCCCTGGTCCTGGCACTTGACTCTGTTATAATAGTAATTATTATATCATTTCAGCTGTAAATGTTTTATATGAAAGAAAGTAGCAAAAGTCAAAAGTGATCTTTTATAGCTACATGTAGCATTATTATTAAGACATGCCCAAAATAATGGGTCCATGGTAGTTAGAACTGTATGATTAAACTGGTTTCATTTCTAACAAGATTAACACAAGATAACTAAGCATAGGCAAAACTTTTGCTTTATTGATGGGAAGACAATTAGCAGTCTCAATTTGGTAATTGTTCTTGATGGTGTCACAAAGACTTATTGAAAAACATACAAAACAAAACAAAAAGCACTATAATGGCTTAAGAAAAATTCTTGTCTTGTGGTTATTGTACATTATTTATGACTAGACTGAAGGCTCAAAAGGGAAATCGCTTATTAGACTCTTTCTCATAACAGTGTGAAGTGATTCTCAATAATAACCATTGAGATTTTGTGCCAGATCACATTAAATAATTATTAAGGCACAAATATATCAGACATGAATAACCAGTAAAAAAATATTACTAGTATACATGTACCACAATCATAATCTTAATTACTAGTCCGGCAGTGCTCCAACAAGGGCTATGAAAACCCATACTGATTTGAAACAGGCCAGTGCATCGACCTTAACCCTAGGTTTATAGAAGTGAAACATAGAATGAAGATGATGTAAAATTTACATCATAATGCCTGACACTCTATTCCTGCAGTTCACATTTCACCTTCATTCTAATTGTTTCACTACTTTACAGGCACAGATGTATGAAATCAACAAGTCAGAGACCCTGCCAAGGGGAAGGGGAGGGGGTCCGATGTTTTTTTATGTCTGAATTTTGAAACATCTCACGTCGGTGTTTATAAATGCTTCACGTTGCTGTTGGAAATTGAACAAAATATTCTTTGTCTTTGTCAGAATTTTAGAAAAAGGGGATAGCAATGCCTTGTAAAGAAACCAAATGTTCTGCAGTTTCTCAGTTAGTCATTTTGCATATCGAAAACCTATTCATAATTAACACAATTCACAGGAGGGTCTAACAGACGTTCTCTATAAAGTGCAAAGAAAATTGGGGAAAGTTACTTCTTTTTAGCATACTGTGAGACTGGTGATAAATTAGTCAAACCACCATTCTTTGTCGCTTATTCTCAGCTTTTCCATCCCTGTCGCTATCAATTTGGCCGAGGGAGGTTGTCTCTTGCGATTTCATTTTATGGTCTGGTGCTACTTATTGGGTCATGTTGCTTGTCGGAATTTACCCTGGCAGGGCCTCAAGTTAGTCTGCTCCCAATATACATGCATGGGTAATTTCACAGCTCTGTTAGTTGAACTTGCTGCATGGCTGTGGGCACTAATGCAATGGCTTGAATCCTGCTGAATCCCTGAAAATTAAAGCTAACCAACCAATTTTGTGGTATCAAATCTTGCTTCTCTTGTTTCACACACTCCTCGTTTGCTGCCAGGCTTTCTGGACATGTGATCAATAAAGTCAGTGATGTTGTATGTTCCAGGACCCAACAGTTGTTTCTGTTGTAAAAAAAGAGAAAACAAGTATTATTAAGTGTGTATAATTATGGTAGTAATTTTATATACACATGTACTTTCAGTAAATACACTCTTCCCTGATACATTTTCCTTTGACATAACTCAGCCTTGCATGGGTTACAGTTATACATCCATACAAAAAGTCGTGTACATTGAACAACTAGACACTTTGAGGGATTAAAATTTCTTGTGAGAATGGATGTGTCCTGGGACCACAAGTTCATTTTTCTTTTCAAGAAAGAACAACCTGAGGAAATGAAAATGCAGGAAGTTTTTTTTGTTTATTGACTGTAGGTGCATGGTGACGTGATCCAGCAGCTTGTGTTTTCAGGCTTAAGCAAGTATTAAATTTACTTTACCTGAAGTTGTTTTTTCTCCCACTGCTCTTTATACAGCAGATGAGGTATCTTTGCTAAGCGAGCTGTTTCAAAAGCCCTTTCCCATCCTAAAAAGAGTAGGTACAGCTATAAGATTATATTGTTTAAACCAGTTCCTGGTATCTGTGATCAATTTTTTCCGCCCTGTTTAACATTAGACTGTGAGCAGTCCCTCAGGGTCGCCATGCAAGCAAGGAAATCAAGTGAAGCAAACAAAGAAAAAAAGGCCGGCCAAGGCCATTTCACTGACTCTCTGGTCCTGCCAAGCCTTGACTCAACTGACTGAAAACAGACTGCTTGCAGTCTAATCTAACATGTCAACAGCAGATAATATGTGTGCATGCACTGAAGGTGTATTAGAACAAATGGTCCTCTGAGTCTCTGAGAGGAACATGTGTTAAGTATGCCATATAAACAATATCTCACACTTAATGCAGCATTTCTGCCTGAACAAGGGAGTAATACTTTATACAGATTTTTCTCACCTGGACCAGCTGATCTCTCTAACACAGCTTTTGGGTTAAATCCACCTGCATCAATGTTGTAAGAGCCAGGTCCAAGACGGCGATTCTTAAATTAAAAAATTGATACATTCACAAAATCAAGTACAAACAATTAAAATTTAACACTGAATTCTCCAAACATTATATGGGAGTCAGTGGGTACTCAGGAATATTCCCAGGGGGTACTCCCATGTGTGGACTAGATAGGTATCTGCCGCCTGATACAGGGTATGGCTTCTGAGGGTATTTAAGGTTCCTGGTGTGATCCTTAGATAGTGTACCTAAATGTGTAACTGCCCAGTTATAGATGAGAAGTTGAAAGTGAGCTATCCCTTAGGCCCAGTTCAGATGCCAAACTTTTCATGAGCTGCACCTAATAGATTGAATTTAAGTACATGAAAAGTTTGGTGTCTGAATCAATTAAGAACGCCTGTTTCAATTTGGATTGGCTTAGCTGTTCCTTTTGCCCAGTCCGGCTAGGAATTTCACCATTAGAGCAACTTTGATTCAGACGCTGAACTTTTCATGTACCAAACCTAATACATAAATTATAACATATTTTGTAAACAGTTTGAACGAAATGAGCATTTTCCGCCTTTTGAAGTTAGTTCAGATGCAATTATGATTGGCATTTGAATCAGTTCAGCCGGTCTAAATAATTTGGGTCTTCCTTTTTAATAATTCAAATTAGGTTTAATTGGCTCATGAAAAGTTTGGCATCTAAACTGGGCCTTAGGAAGTGATTTAATGAAGATTTATGTATTGCCATTAAATTCTTATAGTTTTTGGTTTCCCTTGAGTAGCGTGTAATTTTTTGTGTTTACATGGGCCTTACATGTGGTATAAAATTTTGCCCCCATAAGCCAATACCTCTTAATTTTTTCTAGCCTGTTCCAGGTGTTCAGATAGTAGAGCACAGGAGAAAAATTCACTAAGAAAGAAAACAAGGGGAGACTAGACGGGGAAATTAAGGGGCAGGGAACTCCTGTAAACATTGCCTTACAAAGCTCTTTCTGCTCTTAATTGACCGCCGACCCTGTAACTGTGACATGAACTACAGTTTGACTGAATTGTGACACAAAGTGTTGACAACCTGGACACGACCCATAAGCTCGTGTGAAATGTGACCTTCAATGCCATTAGTGCTCGAGTGTTAACAGAAGGTGTCATAATCGACCGATAAGAGGGTATACTGGAATCCAGTATACCAGAACGACCCTTTGTTAAGATGTTTACAGGCGTTCCCTCGCTGTCGCCTTCCCTCCCCCCCCGGTTTCCCAGTGTACAATTTAACTCGCTCCACACTGATCGCCGCGCTCTACTATCTGAATGCCTGGAACAGGCTAAACTTTTTCAGGGTAATTGTTGAGTCTTCTATCGATTGACTTACCACTTCGGACATGCACTTTCTGTCATAAGCAACCTGAGTAATTGTTCCTGGGGTTTTGCTTTTTGGATGAATACCAGCAACATCAAACCTGAGAAAGTCATTTGATTTCTTAAAAGAAAAATCACTTACTTATAAGGCTTAAATAGTACCTCTAGAACTGTCGCGCGAAAGAATTGGATTCTTTTGTTGTTCGGAAACATTCCTCAAGATGATGAAAAACGTAGACTGAAAACCTCCCTAAATATTTTCAAAGATTATTTTCATGTGCACCCAATTATAGCCTGCGCGCAGATGAAAATAAACTCTGGTTAACTCCAGAGTTTAGTTTCGTCTGCGCGCAGGCTAACCCAATTAGGATTATTAAAGCACCAAGTACTGCAAAAATCAGCAAACATACCGGTACTTTTCTAAGTTTATCTCGACAGACAACTTTGCCAAGCCCATGATGACGGTCTGACAGGGCACGATGCTTACCTCACAGTTTGGACTCCAAAAGGCGCCCCTGAAAATTTCTTTTGTGTCATTTTCACTCACTGCGTTCTCTTGGTTTCATGTCACTAAAATAAAGGCCTTAAAATGACACACTTTGCGTTCAACTTAGCTTTATAACTCGAACGGCGGGATGAAGAAGTGAATTGCCTAGCAACCAAGTTGCAGAGGCCTGGTTACCAGCTTTTCCCATACTCAGGCCTAACTCAGGCCTTAAATTTGGGCCAAACTCGGGCCTTAACTCGGGCCAACGGGCCAAACTCGGGCCCGGGTTGATCAGAGGAGACTTGGATCCGAGCGCGATAGCGCGAGCTTTCCCGACTAATTTCCCGACAAGCTTGACAGGTGACGTCACATCCGAAATCGCCGAGGACGACTGGGAACGAGGCTGAGACAACAACACTTCCCTTTGTGACGTAAGCCATTATGATAATGATCGTTATTTGTTGTTGAGAAAAGGAAAAAAATACCATAAATGGGTTCTTTTACAAGGCACTTAAGTGTTAATCGAGATTTTAGAAAAACCTGTGCTACTCTGGCAACAAATCGTTATGTCAAGGCGCCCATGGGTCGCGCCCAAAATAGCGCCGCGGACAACTTGCAACTCGTGCATTTGCTGACAACCAATCCCGCAGCCGCTCTTCCAGCGATCTTCTCCACCAGCGCAAGCCCTCAAAAGCTGGCATTTCAGATGAGCCGTCCAAATAACAGTTGGACCTGTGGCGGGTTAAATGATCAAGTGTATATTGAAAACGAGAGGACAGGACGAATTAATCTTATAAGCCTGAGTGAGCAGTCTCCCTGTAGCAAAAGACAATGCTCTTTTTCAGAGCTTTATGTTTCCAAAGAAGACATTGAAAAAAAGGCGTGTTGCATCGACGGACACGGACACTTCGACTTTGAAGCGTTATTACCGGCAGTGTACTGGAAACACAAATAAATATTTTCTCATCTACCTTAGATAAGGAAGATTGCTGATTTAAAAGACGAAGTGTGTCTTGGTTAGTGATTTTTCTGAGTAAACATCAAGTCTGTATGAAGGGTTCAAATGTCTTTCTGTTTTATCTCATCTTTACCTGGCCCTTTTACATCCCTGGAAATGTCTAAGCGAAATCTTACAAAAATACTTTCCCTTTTTTGTCGTAGCAAAATTTACCAACTTTGTCTTTGGAAGTTTTACTACTCAAATATTGTTGTTCTAGCCTGGTCACAGACAATCTATTTTCTCTTCAAAGTCCGTCTAGCGCGGGTGATAAAATATAAACCGAGGGGATTTATTGACCGCCAGCGCAAGGGGGTAGTGTGGGGCTCGCCGATGTTTTTGAAAAGAACGAAAAGAAAAATAAAACAATGTCTGTGCACAGGCTATTGTTGATCCGGCTGCCGAGAGAATGTCTCGGATACGTCACCGAAATGACCGAGAGACACCGTACAGGTTGTTGCAACGTACAGCAACCAGAGGAACTAGGCACTTTAACACCCGAGCCTTGAAAAATATACCCTCTTGTTAAGAGCCATAATAGTCCCATTATGGCTCTTGCTCTTGTTTATTGGACCTATCGTTTAGACCAAATAAGGGTGTGCCCTGCCTCCCGGATCTACACCAAGATCTGCTGTTGAATTCCGAAAATAAGCCTCGGGGGCTTATCAAGTTTTCAAAGGCCCTTTTTGAGGGGTTTATATTCAGAGGGGCTAAATGTCTACGGAGGGAAATTTGCGTTTCAAAATTGATTGGGCTAACCTTTTAGTTGGAAGTAAATTTACCGTTTTTGCTTTGTTTTACTTTGTATTTGAGGGTAATTTTTCCCGGGAGGCTTATATTTGGACAACCTCGTCCCCAGGGCGCTCTTCCCTGGCTTTGGAGGTGGGGCGGGACAGCGGGCCCACCTCCAAAGCCAAGGAAAAGCGCCCTGGGGACAAGGTTGATATTTAGAGGGGCGATTTAACGGAGGCAGATGGGCTCCTGACGGAGGGTTTTTTGCGTTACCGGTATTGTCCAAGTCAGGAGCCGCTTCTGTCCAAGTGTATCCTCTTCTCTCCTTACATCATACATTTTCATATTTTTATGACCCTCATGAAGAAAAGCTGCTTTAATCCATACTTCCGCTTACTGCACGAGCGAAAATAGAGCCTGATGTCAGCAAAGATGCGCGAGGATGCGCGCGATCTTCTTGAACGAGAAGCACTGGAACGAGGTAAATTAAGTGAAGGGTGAAGCGTGAGGGAGTTGTTTCGTCTTCACGGAAGTATCTTGTGATGTTAGCAGAGCCATATACACAACTACAGCGCCTCCTACCTAACAAAATGTTCAGAACGAAAGGAATTTTACTTGTCACTACATTTTTGTGTTTTCCTGGCGTTATTTCGGCTTCTTGCCCAAGTTCGATGTACTCGGACTTGAAAGACACACTTCAGTCACCAGGTTTTAGTACGGGAAATTACCCTCCGAACCAGAATTGCACCTATGATATTCGTGTTCCTCCTGGAAAAAGAATAATTCTTGCCTTTGACTTTGAAATATTTAATATTTTGGGAAGTATGCCAGATTGTTCTCAGGATTCTCTGGAAATAATTGTCGGGTAAGTATAAGATCCAGATGCCATTATTGTCGTGTAAACATGTTTTGATCAGCTTTGCACGTACGCGGCATATATTACGTGCATGTTATCTCAAAGCGGAATATACTGTATAAGCTTAAAACCAATAGTCGCTTCTATCAGTGACTTGATTCAGGAATTTGAAAGAAAAGCAGTCACTTTCGAATTTTAAAATGTGGTGCTCCTTCCTTCAAGTTATTTTAGCTTTTAATATACCTTTCAATATTTCCCAGTGACAGACGCGGACCCGTAAGTTTTTATTCAGTCACTTTGATCAGAAAGGTGTTTAGCATTGTTCAACTTTCTCACGTCATTCCTAAGATTAACTGGGTGATGGTCTATTCTTTTCTCAAACTTCTCAGATGAGACATGAAAGGTTGTTAATATCAACGATGTCGATTATCAGGATTTTTTGTGTGATAATCAACCATGCGCTATTAATGATTAATGCTTTATTAAGGCTGGTTTTCACTAGCGACGGAGTTGGAGTCGGAGTCATAATCAGAAGCGTAGAGCTTATGATCTAGTGAAAACAGCGTTCCGATTCCGCTTACGACTTCGTAGCTTACGTTCTGCTTATGATCTAGTGAAAACTAGATTGTCGCAGTCGGAAGCAGAAGCAGAGGAACCAAACCAATCACAAAGAGTGGGAACGTGGGTTCTGATTGGCTTATCCTTCCGCTTCTGCTTCCAACTCCGACAATCTGGTTTTCACTAGATCATAAGCGGAACGTAAGCGACGGAGTCGTAAGCAGAGTCGGAAAAAAAGGGGAACATTCTGATTCTTCTGACTCCAATTCCGTCGCACTTACGACTCCGCTTACGACTCCGACTTTTGATTTTCACTAGGTCATTAGCGCTCTTACGACTCCACTTACGACTCCGACTCCGTCACTAGTGAAAACCAGCCTTTTGAACAATATTATTGGATGAGGTTTTAGCCGAGCGAAGGCTGAGGCTGATAACACTTACTGAGACCTTGATTACCTGCATTCAAACCCCACTTTACGGACACTCGCTTAATATGGACACCTCATTATTACGGACACTCGCTTAATATGGACACCTCATTATTATGGACAGTTTGCTTTGTCCCTGGGAAAAGAAAACCATTACATTTTCTCTAAATTCAACCCTCTTAATGTATGGACACCCCATTAATATGGACACTTTTTACGGTTCCCTCAGTGTCCTTATTAACAGGGTTTTACTGTATTTAGGATATCAAAAAAAACGAATCTAATAATTGTTTTATTATCCATTGTTTTGAAGAAAATGATGACAAACAAACTGTCACAAGGAAACTGAATTGATATTGTTATTGCAAATCATTCATTGCATGTGCAACCAACAGATGAGTCAGTTACCTGCTAGCAGATAACTCACTAATCTGCATCACTAATTCTGAGTTACAACCAACAAGTCTTTCTAAAATAAAATCAGAAACTTAAGACCTATCTAGTCAGTAAATAACTATTATTTCAACAATCTGCATTTTTTATCAGGTATCATTTTTAAGATGTGTTATCTCTAACTTTTTAAATCAACATAATTATTAGAGCTATACCTTTTTATCTCTTAGGGCTAAGAGGAAAAGGAAATTAAAAAAAATTAATAATTATTGAAAATCAACCTAGGTTAAATCAAAATTAACCTGAAATTAAAATTTACCTTTAACATTTAATTATTATTTTCCTTTTAATTGTGAGTTTATACCTGTAAAATAGGTTTTTAGCTGAGTGTCAATTCTGTTAATAAATTGTTTTGCTGGGACATGTATATATAGTAAAGCCCTGTCAGGGTATAATTCCATCAAGCAACATGTCAGCATTGAAACTGCAGTGACATACTTGTACACTGTAAGACTCGATGAGATGGGGAAAAACAGCATTAAGATGGGTTGAATACCAACAAGGGACATGGCCTTCTCCTCAAAAGGCAAAGCAGCCAGATTTAGAATTCAGTCTGCAGTGGCTGATCCAGGGGAGGGGCCCAGGGGGCACAGCTCCCCCTTGTTTTTGGACCAACTGAGGCGAAAAAAAAATTTTTTTACAAAAAAGCTCTTAATGTCATAAACTGTAACTCCCTAACAATTTCTTTTAACACTGTACTTTACTGCAGAATAATTTGTTAGCCCAGATAAAACTATGCCAGATTTTTGTTAACTAATAAAAATAGTTAGTGCAAAATTTCCAACCCTCTCCCTTCACAAGAAAATCTCCTCAAATGCACAAAAATGTCAGACATATTGCTGCCCCTCCCCACTACTGTGCTCGATGACCTTGACAGTGACTGGGTAAATGAATTTTTCCATTTCAATTTCAGATGTGCAGAGGATAATCAAATATCACTTGGCAAATTCTGTTCATGTTCAAATCTTTCAATGCCAGACAAGATCTATACCTATGACAACTGTCTGACTCTTGTGTTCATATCTGATGGCTCCTATGGGGGATGGGGCTTTCAAGCAAATTACACTACAGCAGATAACAATGTAACAAGATTGGATCCCAAAAACAATTGTAGGTATGTACAACTCACTTAGCTTGCCCAATGTTTATTGCACTATTAAAGGAGTTGCTGTGTTTATTTACTCTGAGGAAGTAAAATATTGTACTTGTATTAATCACCCAGTTGGGGATGAGTCTAGTGGATTAGCCTTTAAGGGTTAAAGAAAAAAAACCTCTTAGACTTTGCTAGTTGAGGAAATTGAGAATCAACCTCAGTGAAAAACTGAATTCCATTTTGACCTGTGACATCTATTTTGTAAAACTGTCAGTTGAAATGTAAAGAGGACTCGGTGTGTTTTAAACTGTTAATTTGCTGTATTACTTCTGTGGTAATTATTTTAATGTGTGATATTCATCAAACAAATTAATGTTGTATATTATGTAACAGAGACTACAACAGGGGAATGATAGAGTCTTGTAAGCTTGTTTTATCTTTTGAGTCTGTGGATAAAATCCTGAGGTGTGACCATAGGCCCACTTGGGAAAACATTTGTTATTTCTTGCAGGTTTTTATTCATTTTTATTTCATTGAGAAATTGTCTCTGGTGTGTACTCATACACCTTTGAAAGTAAAACGTGTCCTTCTCTTTTACAGTAGCAATGATCTTGTGACCCCCTCTCACGGAACTATCTTTAGCCCCTTCTGGCCACTCAAGTACCCCCCACAAGAGAGATGTCAGTGGCAGTTCAGTCCTCCATCGGGAAAGATTGTTCGTCTCTTTTTCACAAGCGGTGTTTATGACACAAAAAGATTATGTACAGATCTTTCAAGGCCCATTGCAGATGATGACCAAGTTGTCCTATCCTATGGTACAGTTATTTAGCTATCTTTGCCACATAAATGGTTTAAATTGATTTTTTGATGCTCTGTTTATTTTACTGGTTTTATATTTTTAATACTATGAAGTCCCCAGGTAGTTATCACATGTATCACATCATCATAATATTTTTGAGGCTTCTTGGGCTATGTCATACCACACACTTCTGTCCAACATGCAGGCTCTTATTCTTCCTAGGAGCCTGCAGTGTTCCTTATGAAGGAGTCAATTTAAGTTAGCATTATTTTGTCCTCCACGTGAATCCTGGACTTGCTGCCTCATGCTGTGTAGATCCATTTGGAGTCTTCATCTCTCCAGTCTTGCTTTCTAATAATAATAATAATAATAATAGACCTGATATTGTAGTGCTGGAAAAGGAGGGGAGGGTGCAGTGCTTCATTGTCAATGTAACTTGCCCTTTTGATACACGGGTAGCAGAAAAAGAAACAGAGAAGATCTACCACTTTAAGGACTAAAAAGTGGAAGTGCAAATTAAGATCTGGAACTGCAGAGGCTGTGTATCTGTCATCCCTATTGTAATAGGTTGATCAGTAAGCTGGGAACGCCTGGGTCCATTGCATTACTCCAGAAAGCTTGCTTGTTGGGAATAGAGAAGATCCTAAGAATGACCCTAGACACCTAAGGCTCAAAGGAGATCGCTTGATCCTTTGGGGAATAAGGCCAGGTATAAGTGTGAGACATACACATATAATAATAGTAATGATGCAGGTAATGATAATAAATATTGACTATTTATCCAGGATAACCCCATCAGTAAAAAGTAGCCACTGGTATCAATTGGATCCTGCTGGAGCATGACTAAGAATCAGAAACTAATTAAGGAATAAGAATTACTAAAGTATATAAAATTAAAATTAAAAAAGCAAACATGCACTAAGTTAAAAACTGTTTAAAACTGCAACAGAATTATTGTTTCTTAAACTTACAGGCACCTAAGAATAAAAACTATAGCATGCAAAATAATCCAGTTTGACCTTTGGCAGTTTTGCTGTTTTCCCATTATTTGTAGTGTTTAAATTGTTGAAAATAATTTTTAAATGGAAAACATGCTGTTCCATTAAGGCAGTCAAATACAAAACAGCATGTTCTCAATTAACTTCCGTTACTGTTAAAAATCGAAGATCTCACTTTTGGACTGCATAGTTTGCGGAACTCTGGCTATCCACGACTATAATAGCTGCAGTATGTAAATATTGACATAATACTTGGAAGGAGAGGGTCCAGGCTTTGCATCTATTTTAGTCCACTGTTGCTACAAATAAATTTAGTTTGTTTATAAAAGCTTGTCGGATGTCACTATTTTGGCTCATTCTTGGTAAACATGAAAAGCTAACAAGTACTGCAAAAGAAAGAAAACAACAGAGACCCCAAGGAAAATGAAAGATTTAAAACAAACAAAGATTTCACAGGAGATTACACCAACGTAAATCTACAATTTCACTATTGTTAGTTGCTAGGGCAGGGGGGGAGGTACAATGACAGCTGAACATGTCTACTCATTAAAGCCCCGTAAAAATATATTGATTTTGACTGAGAATGAACCCAGCTCTGTTATCTTGTTAAGTGGAACATGTCTGTGACAAATAGTAAGTCACTAAGTAAACAAGCATAGGAACATTAATTTATTGATTGATTGTTGTAGTTTTTGTTGGCAACTCTTGTGGTACTGTTCTTTGAATTTTCCTTTAATTCTACTATCAATTTATTAGTTGTTAGCACACAGACAACTGTGTGTAAACTGGTGATAACCTGTCAATCATACTGTAAGCAGAGATGCAGGTCTCCACTTCTACCAAGGTTTCTAATGGCATTTTCTCATATTTATTCTCCCATTCATCTAAAGGTACAAACACTACAGCCTATGAGTCCAGCTACAGAATTTGTTTTCTGCCATCCAATTTTTTTGTCATTGAGAATGTTACAGCCATTCATTTGCTCTTTTCTTCTAATGATGATCCTAGTGATAGAGGCACTGGTTTTATGGCTGGTTATGCCACATATGTTGAAGGTACCATTAGTAGTGATTACCATTATAATATTATAGCTGCCATAAAGTAACATACACATGTAGGCAGGTAGGATTCTGATGTACTCGATGGTGCAATTTTGCACAATTTATTGACCTTTAATGACCTCAAAACGCATTTGATCAAACAATTTAGGAAAATCACATACAAAATAATGTAATTTGTTTAAAAAACAATTTGACTGTTGGTTAAGTATATGAACTTAGAAATTGATAACATACAAGTTTTCCCTTCCTTTTTGTATTTAGGTAAAGTGGATCCTGTTACTGGAGGGTAAGAAAGCTTTTTAAGATGTGCTAGGAATTTTGAGAATTTATATATTTCTTTAAAGTTTGAGATGGAATTCTGCTCTTTTCCCTCCACATGGAAGGTATTTGGTTTAGGTTACAAAATTAATAATCATTACCTCTCCCTGCAAGTAGCCAGCAATGCCAGCTGCTCAAATATGACAATTTACATAGGCTGGAAAAGGAATAATATATAGTGCATAATAATAGTAAGGGGAGTAGAAAATATCAGTCTGTCAGCATTTAAGATAAGATGTACAACCTCTCTTACAATGCAACTTAATTCCCTGTTTGTATGCAGTCTGACTACGTTGTTATAATGACCAGTTAGTTGTTAAAGTGACTGAAAATCTTATTCTTGAAAACCACTGGAGTTAATATTACCAGATTCCCATGGCCTTTGGATGAGCAGAATGACAAGGTTTCATTGCAGAAGAACAATGGGAAATGCTTATAATTATGCAGAAGTTGCAAAAACCAGACTTAAGATATTTTCCAGAATCACCTAGTCTGTCCAATTTGTCATACTGTCTAGTGTTGGATCCTTAAATTTTATGTGGTAACATGTTAATAAATATGTTACCATTACACGTATGCCATTCTTTATGTTTCCATAGCAACTGACTGTTGACAGGCATTTATTGCAACACTGGGAATTTTCCCTTTAATCTGTTGTTTGTCTAGATTTCCAGATTAAATTATTACCTTTTAACATTACTTAGCATAATGTTATTTATTATTGTTGTGGTCTTTCATGAATTTTTTGGTGTACTCTAAGTAGTCTTGCTACAACCATTAACACCTAAAACACCCTATTTTACAATGTTTAACAAAACCTTCAGGCAGTTAAAAGCTAAGCTACATTTTGTATCATCTCAACGTTTTAGAACAAATGTAGTTTTCAAGGTGGTGCAGATCTAGAGCAACTTAAAATCATGTTTTGCACAAACACATAAACACCGATCCTTCACAAAGCGAATTAGGTCGCATAGGTAAAAATTTGTACTCGTGTTAGTCACGGTAAAGCTTTACCACTGATTGGAATTGCTCAAGAATTTTGGCCATGATACTTACAGTTGTTAGGCCATTGTGGTGCGAGAATTACGTAGTGCATGACAAGTGATTCACATCTCACGAGAGGGTGGTAACTTACTTTTGAGCGGTACTGTATATTTTCCAGTGTTAAACCTTGATTTATTTGTTTGGTGCATCACCTGCACAAGATGATAATTGGCCAGTAACAGAAATATTCGAGTATCTTTATTCAGTGGTAAATTTGAAGGATAACAAGTTCTTAACTGTATTTACCGACCCCTTGTTTCCACTGACCAGAATGAAATTTTATAATAATGCAAGGCTGCTTTATTACTGGGGCCATAATGCCAGCATAATTAGTATCTGGTTTGTTCAGTTTTTGTACCACTCCTCCTTAATAATAATATTATTATTTTTGATTTGCAGCTGTCGGAGGCCTCTTACTGAAGGCGCAACAAGTACAACTTGGTCAACTACTGCTACCACAGTCACTAAAGCTTCTACAAATCCTACTGGTGGAACTGAGGAAAAACTCTCTGGTGAGCCATCACCTTCATACAAAAGAAAAATATTAGATAATTTTATCCAAGTTTTCAGTGTCTTTACATAATTTATTGCATGTTGTATAAAGTTATTGTTGATATTTAATTTGTGTGTGTGTCGTTTTTCCTGTAGGTGTGATTTGTTGTTATAAAGTAGCTTAGCATAACAGTTCACTCAGGACTACATTTACGCGGGTGATCATACACCCTACATCATACATGTGGACAGCCAGAACTAAGGTTTAGCCAGGGCTAAAAGCAAAGCTCCCGATAATATTTATAGTTTGTTCAAACAAAATATAAAATCGTGTAATGGTAAGCAGCAAAGGCAATGCCGGAGAATGTTGAAAAACAACAATAGATCTAATTAGCAAAACAAGCAACTTTGCACGTGCAGGACACTGTTTTTGTACATTTCTTTGCCATTGTTTTGCATGACTACAACGTGAAACTTCCTGAAAGCTCTTAGTTGCACGTTTTATGGAGGAAATGTCGTACGTGTTCTCATTCCTTTTTTTTTTCACTACCGCTCATTTTCACCTTGCCTTGGTGGCCTTCCCATTTTGCCACCACCTCTACAAAATTTTCTTGTTGTTCTTCCAACAAAAAAATGTCTCCTTTGTTTTTTATCTCTCACTCTAGATCTCTGTCACCCTTTTTCTCGTTGAGCTTCGCTGACCTGCTGCCTACTTTCTCCTTTTCTCTTATCTTTCTCCTGCTTTATATTCCAAATTTGTGGACATGACAATATTATTAATCTAAGCTAAATACTTTAGACAACACGCATACAGAAACAATTTTCACTTTCCATTTTCGTCTTTATTGACTCTTTGGTTGTCTCTGCTTTACAAGACGCCAGTGGCTATGCGATTTCCCGCCAAAATAACCTCTGTTGAGCAAGCTGTCAGTTATTTTACTGTTAACAGTCTCTCAAAAACTGTTAATCCCTTTGCCTGAATGCTTTTTACATGGCTTTCGTTATCATCGGCTCGTGAATAAACTTCTGGTTATTTAGCTGTTGCTGTATTTACACAATAATTATATTGTGGTATTCACCGTAATGTCGGTGAATTAATTACAAGTGTACATGTAGTAATGTCGTTGGGTTCTAGGAAAGACAAGTAAAGAAAGCCCACTCAGGGCCTCGGTCAGTTTAGTTTGAATCTAACTGGTTCTTGAACAGATGGCATCATTTGTGTCATGTAAGGTATAGCCTCCATGTTTCTCAGTGCCTTACTGTTAATCATTAACTAAGAAAGACCTTTACAAGGTAAAATTGAGATTATTAGACACTGTATTAACATGAATAAAAGGTTTTTTTTCTTGATGGTAGGAACAATCATCTTTCGCATAACAGTATAGTGTAACAGCTTTTTTGACTGATATAGTCTTTCCAGGGGGTGCCAAACCAAGTAGGAAATTCCAGGGGGGTGGGGGGTCTAAAGCAAAAATACCCTCTGTGGGGGGTATGGATATTTTCTGGAACTACATGTACACAATTCACCTACATTTGACATTTTAAGTGCTTTTAAGTTATTCATTTTTTACTTTAAGAAAAGTTTTCACCACCGTCTCTGTTGTGGTTGCTCAAGTGAAAGCAAAGCTTAGCAACCTAGCTGATACTAAACTTGACCAAAACCCGATGCCACTTTGCATGCCTAGTTTTGATCAAATCTGGAACGCTTCCCGTACTACAAACATACTCTTAATACAAACTGTTTTCAGCTTCTACAGCAACTACTCCAGAACGTAATGGAAACCTCTCTGGTGAGCCAAAAGATATTCAGATTTCAGTTTCTCTACTTTTATTATTGAGTGTTGTACAAATTAATGTTGATATGTAGGTTTTAATAATATTTTGTTTATTATATGTGTGTATTGTTTTTCCTGTTTTTGTGATTTGTTGTGATACGTAGCTAGACATGTTCAGTCCTATTCAGCATTACACTGACCCAGCTGGCGATCATATGCCACCTACTTACATAATAATATGACTTCTGGGTTTGAGCAAGCTGTCAGTTATTTTACTGTTAACAGTCTCTCAAAAACTATTAATCCCTTCGTCTGAATGCTTTTTCATGGCTTATGTTGTCATCGGCTCGTGCATAAACTTTCGGTTATTTAGCTGTTGCTGTATTTACACAATAATTATATTGTGGTATTCACCGTAATGTCGGTGAATTAATTGTGTACATGTAGTAATGTCGTTGGGTTCTAGGAAAGACAAGTAAAGAAAACCCACTCAGGGCCTTGGTCAGTTTAGTTTGAATCTAACTGGTTCTTGAACAGATGGCATCATTTGTGTCATGTAAGGTATAGCCTCCATGTTTCTCAGTGCCTTACTGTTAATCATTAACTAAGAAAGACCTTTACAAGGTAAAATTGAGATTATTAGACACTGTATTAACATGAATAAAAGTTTTTTTTTTCTCTTGATGGTAGGAACAATCATCTTTCGCATAACAGTATAGTGTAACAGCTTTTTTTTTGACTGATATAGTCTTTTCAGGGGTGCCAAACCAAGTTGGAAATTCAGGGGGTGGGGGTCTAAAGCAAAAAAAATACCCTCTGTGGGGGTATGGATATTTTCTGGAACTACATGTACACAATTCACCTACATTTGACATTTTAAGTGCTTTTAAGTTATTCATTTTTACTTTAAGAAAGTTTTTTCACCACCGTCTCTGTTGTGGTTGCTCAAGTGAAAGCAAAGCTTAGCAACCTAGCTGATACTAAACTTGACCAAAACCCGATGCCACTTTGCATGCCTAGTTTTGATCAAATCTGGAACGCTTCCCGTACTACAAACATACTCTTAATACAAACTGTTTTCAGCTTCTACAGCAACTACTCCAGAACGTAATGGAAAACTCTCTGGTGAGCCAAAAGATATTCAGATTTCAGTTTCTCTACTTTTATTATTGAGTGTTGTACAAATTAATGTTGATATGTAGGTTTTAATAATATTTTGTTTATTATATGTGTGTATTGTTTTTCCTGTTTTTGTGATTTGTTGTGATACGTAGCTAGACATGTTCAGTCCTATTCAGCATTACACTGACCCAGCTGGCGATCATATGCCACCTACTTACATAATAATATGACTTCTGGGTTTGAGCAAGCTGTCAGTTATTTTACTGTTAACAGTCTCTCAAAAACTATTAATCCCTTCGTCTGAATGCTTTTTCATGGCTTATGTTGTCATCGGCTCGTGCATAAACTTTCGGTTATTTAGCTGTTGCTGTATTTACACAATAATTATATTGTGGTATTCACCGTAATGTCGGTGAATTAATTGTGTACATGTAGTAATGTCGTTGGGTTCTAGGAAAGACAAGTAAAGAAAACCCACTCAGGGCCTCGGTCAGTTTAGTTTGAATCTAACTGGTTCTTGAACAGATGGCATCATTTGTGTTATGTAAGGTATAGCCTCCATGTTTCTCAGTGCCTTACTGTTAATCATTAACTAAGAAAGACCTTTACAAGGTAAAATTGAGATTATTAGACACTGTATTCACATGAATAAAAGGTTTTTTTTCTCTTGATGGCAGGAACAATCATCTTTCGCATAACAGTATAGTGTAACAGCTTTTTTGACTGATATAGTCTTTCCAGGGGGTGCCAAACCAAGTTGGAAATTCCAGGGGGGTGGGGGGGTCTAAAGCAAAAATGCCCTCTGTGGGGGGTATGGATATTTTCTGGAACTACATGTACACAATTCACCTACATTTGACATTTTAAGTGCTTTTGAGTTATTCATTTTTTACTTTAAGCAGGGTTCGTACGGGTCCTGGAAAACCTGGAAAGTCATGGAAATTTAAAATTTCAAAATCCAGGCCTGGAAAACCTGGAAAATATGTGTTGGTCCTTGAAAGTCCTGGAAAATTAGACTTTTCCTAGGACAGTGAATAAGTTTCTTTTCATTTTCTTCGCTCACATTTTCAAGTTTTTTGTGGGCGACAAATGGACGTGTACAATCTTGCAAAATCGTACCTGTCGTTAATCCCAAAACCTGACAGTTCAGAGTCTGGGCTCTAGCTACCCCTGCAGTTTTACGGGCTTCCCATGTTCAAAAATTTTGTTGTTTGTATCTGGATGAGAATGGCGCCGTTGTTTCGTTCTGTTTTAAATCTAACCTGCAAAGCAGGCGTATTTTGGAGCGCGATCCATGAATTGTTTTCAGGAATGACGTTGTCCCGCCATCTTGGACGTTAATACTACCAGAGAGTTGGGACGTGGCGGCCACGATCAATGTACCTCCGAGTTTTCGTTAAAAAACGCCTGCTCTGCAGTCTATTTTAAATCAAGTCAAAACGTACTCAAAAGTATTGTTTCCGGCCCTTGTGATTAAGCTGAATGAACAATGCCTGGGAAGTGTACTTTCAAAGAAAACTGGACTTCTCACAAGATATACAAAGACTGGATATTACAAGACTCAAGCTCTCAACACAAAGCACGTTGTCGCTTGTGCCAAAAATCATTGGACTACTCAAACATGGGGGAATCCACCCTCAGAAGCAGAGCTGTCAACTCTCCCGGATAATCCGGGAGACACCAGATTTTGGACCGTATCTCCCAGTCTCCAGGTTAGAGTATGAAATCCTCCCCAATAATCGCCGAATTTTGCCATTTCTTGTAGAGTCGACTTTCCGACAATAAAATTTCAAATATTTTGCGTTGTTTGAGTTATTTTTATACTGTTAACATCAAGCGTTGTAATCTCCGGTATGCCATTATACTATAAGCAATAATGTGATTGGTGGGAAGTAAACCGATCAAGTCAAATGTTGTTCAACAACATCTTTTTCGCGCGTTTTGTGTCATCGCTAATGCGGGGCGATCGGAGTCAACAGTATCTTTTGCAAAAATGATGTCATGTGCCATTTGTTATGACGTCATCTATCATCCCTTTGCTATCATTTCTCAATATTTGAAGACGTGGGAGGGTTGACAGCCCTGCAGAAGTAACAGGAGAGGGAGTAAGCACAAAGAATTAACAGCATTAATAGCTGAGCGGTCAGTGCCAATTATCCAGTTTATGTCTTCAAAGGCAGTATCTTCATCTAGCTCTGACAAACCTGGTCCTTTGATGTCTTGTGGCTTACATTCCAGCCCTTCAGTACGTGATGCAAGTGCTGCAACACCAAGCTCATCTGCTTCTCTTAAAGAAACGGTCGAAAAACAGTCGAAAACCGGTCAGTAATTAAGTAGCACAGTCAAAAAGTCATGGGAGTTCCTCAAAACGAAAACCTGAAGAAGCTTCTAAAATCGACAGCGAAATAGACCAGAAGCAACAGACTCTTGCAGAAACGTAGCAAAAATGCTACATAGTTTGTTGGTTTGTTTGGATTGTTTCAGTTTTCCTGGCTATTACTGGTCCTGGATTTTTGTAAATATGGTACTTGAAAGTCCTGGAAAAGTCCTGGAATTTTGATGGACCAGTGGTGTACGAACCCTGTTTAAGAAAAGTTTTCACCACCTCTGTTGTGTTGTGTTCTGTCTCTGTTGTGGTTGCCCAAGTGAAAGCAAAGCTTAGCAACCTAGCTGATACTAAACCTGACCAAAACTGGATACTACTTTGCATGCCTAGTTTTGATCAAATCTGAAACGCTTCCCGTACTACAAACATACTCTTAATACAAACTGTTTTCAGCGTCTACGGCACCTACTCCAGAACGTAATGGAAAACTCTCTGGTGAGCCAAAAGATATTCAGATTTCAGTTTCTTTACTTTTATTATTGAGTGTTGTATAAATTAATGTTGATTTGTAGGTTTTAATAATATTTTGTTTAATATATGTGTGTATTGTTTTTCCTGTATTTGTGATTTGTTGTGATACGTAGCTAGACATGTTCAGTCCTATTCAGCGCTACACTGTCCCAGCTGGCGATCATATGCCATCTACGTACTTACATATATGACTTCTGGGTTTGAACCTATCACAGTTTTGGACATAATATTACAATTATGAGATATAATTCCAAGGGTTTCTTTTCTGAGGAATCCTGACAGGGTAAAACCTTCAATTAAATATCCACTACAAGAAAAGTTGACTTCTTGATGTGATATCCCCGTAATAAGCTGGTATAGAAGCTGACAGTCTCATCCTAGTTTTTTTTTTTCTTTTCTGCTCCTGACAGGAGGTGAAATTGTAGGAATTGTGATCGGAGGAGTGCTTGGTGCATTAATATGTGGGGCTTTGGTTTGGTACATAATACGCTGTTGCAAGAAATCGAAGACGTCAGCTGAGACAAAGGTATTCCTGGAAACCCAGCCAGCTTAGAAAAGTGACTAGTAAGACCTTAAAATGGAGCCCAAAATATGATTGTCAAGGCCATTGTCCAACGAGGGATCGGCTAGCTGCTGCTAGTTGCTGCAGTAAGGCAAATGCTGTGTTTAGCTGTTACAGTATAATCAAGCATAATTTAAAATACCTGAAAAGATTTTAAAAAATAAAATAATAATAGTAATAATAATAATTAACAATAATTGTTAATTATTATTATTACTATTATTATTCCTTGAGCCCGAATGGGTTATTGACTCTGAGCCCATTAGGCCTGAGGATTAATAATAAGCAAAATCCAACTAGTTGGTCAAAAATATCAAGACAAGACAACTTTAGCCAGTAAAACGCGATTCAGCCGCCATTGTTTTGGTTTTCAAAGCCGACACTTTTCGCTACCAAGCAATGGGCTATAGCATATAGTCTAGTGGTGGCTCAACCAATCAGTACGCAGCTTTGACTATCGACCACCAGTTGGATTTTACTAATTGACTGGGAATAGCACAGCATTATTGTGCAGAAGGTTTTATCCATCAAGTGAAAGTGAAGACGAAGCAACAGTCTAATGGCAAGTGCCTGTAGGTTCATGGTTTGGACCTTTCAGGCTCTTTTGATCATAATAATGACGATAGACTGCAAAACAGTCCTTATTTTTGCGTATTCAAGTACGCGCGAGCAGTCAAACAAAAGGTCTGGAATGAGGCTGAAAACAGAGAGCGAGACTGGGGAGAGACGCTTTCACGCTTCGCGCGCGTAAGACTCTTACGCCAAGCTTTACCGTTTTCTTTACTGATTTTGAGAAAAAAACCGACTGTTTTGCAGTCTACAGCGATAACAATAATAGTAATATTTATGGTTGTTTGATAATGTAGCAACCACTTGCAGAAGTGAAGTTCATTCTTGCATTAGACTGAGCTGTGATTGCTGCTGCTTGCTTTACTGGGCCAATAACCTGTTGCTGCTGTTACTAACACTATACCGTTGCTAATTACCAATAGTGAGCTTTTCATCACTGCAATGTACTAGTACTTTGTAAATACTGATAACAGGGTAAAAGCAATGTCACATGGTTTCTCAGAGAGTAAAAGTTGTTGAAAACACCTGCCAATACAGGAAATCACACCTACATGAGTTTTCTTGTTTTACTGACAATAAAAAGGGAAGAGTTTGTTATGTTGTTACCAATGACCCTGGCAAAAGATAGGTGGGGGTGATCACTGTATCATTTCTGGACGCTACTTACTCCATACATTCCTCAGCATAAATTTTAACCAATAATGACAAGTATTTTTTACGTAACTTAAAGTAAGTTGTTGCCTCATTTTATGGAAATAAACTAACCGGCCATCGCAGTTCTTTGCATTGCCTGTAGCTTTTGTCCACTGGATGTAGACCATGTGACTTTTCATCCCACAAGTACTGTGAAGAAGCTCTAGCGAGTTGTTTGAGTGACTGCAAGAGTATGTGATTGTAATAACAATAACAGTTGTAATAATGTCAATGGTGATAGACTTTGTTTATAGTTTGTCTCTTTATAACTTTGCTGTTGATTGAGACAGACGTGAAACTAATCACAGATACTAATGCAAAGTGTAAGAGGAGATACCAAGCGCTGGTCTCCAATATATTCACATTAGTAACTTATTTATCCTGAAACTTGCGCATCTTAGCAATTTAGATTAACAGAAAATAATGTGATAAGCTTTTACTTATGAATGGCCACAGTCAGATTAAGAGAAGCCAATTTTCCTTTCTGAACGTTCTGTTTGTGGATATAGCCCAAGACTCATCAAGTAGTAGGTTAAGTGAGGGATCATGCATCTAACTCTACATATAATGACCTATTGTTAGTTACTCCAGCCTTGTTGGCCACTGTGTTCAACTTACAATGTGAACTTAATGTGCAATAGTCACTCACCTTCAGGTAATAGTTCCTGATTAGTTGGCTGGTTGGCTTACCCTCATGGAGATGTTACCACCCCCCCCCCCCTCCCTAACCTACCCCACCCCACCGATAATTGAGATATAACTTGAGACTTGAGTTTTGAGGTCCTGGTTGTCTGCATCAGGCTGGAAGTCTGCATTTCACAGGTACATTGTTATATGTGATCATTGAATAGAGACATTATTCTTTTATTATCTTTTATTTGCAGGGTCAATTTCCCCTGTGATGATGATGTATTATCTGTTGCCGTTTTAAGTTGATTAAGTAACATGCCCACGCCAAAAACAATTAATTTTTGTAGTTCCACCGCTCTTTAACGTGCAGTCACTTGTAGTTTGGTCATTTTTTGTGTGTGTGTTTTCAAAACAAAATTTTTTTCTCTTTTCCTTGGATTATTTAAATTGGCCGAGTGTAAGTATCTGGTATGAGTTTATATTTTAGAGAAGGTCGTGATCTGGAAAGGAGTCTCTTGCCATATTTGGTACATATTTATAATTAAAGTTCCTATGATGCTCAGATGACGATGCTTTCCCCATCCTTTGCCTGGAGTAACTAGAGCTAACCAGCTAACTGAACAATAACTGACTACTAACTACGTTAATACCTGAAAGTGAGCCAGTTAACTAGAAACAGTTGTTTGCTCGAAAAATGGACGGTCCACTGTAGCCTCTTCTAACATCACTGACTCAAATAATACCATAATACTTCACCGAAGCAGGGTGTGGTCAGATGAAATGGATTTTCTGATTAACAAAAGGGAAGTGGCCAATAAATTGCACTCTGATAAACTGTGTTTTTCCAAGTCGTGGATACAACACTAAATCAACCAATCACATTGCGGGTATGACTCTCTAGTTTTAAAAAATCTAAATTATGCCAGAAGAGTTGATTTTTACAGATTAGAGTTTCAAAATAGTATTTGTAGAGGAACGTTCGTATATGGAAAATGGTCCGCACTTTCAATGAACCCTGTTGCGGTTAACGCAAGTTTTACTTATCCTACAATTGGCTTGTGTGACCATCGTTGTTTTTAGAGTTTGTTATCGGTAAATAGCTTGCCTGTTTATTTGTGCACAATATAAGCTTAGCTTTTAGTGGGCCTTAACTAACATTTAAGTACTTCACTAACATACCACCACATTTTAACAGACCATTTCAAAAGACATCAACTTAAATGAAAGAAATATACGATCTGTTCGGCGCTGGCGGTATGGTCGTCGCTAACGGTCGGAGAATTCAACCTTAAAGTTTAATCACCGAGCTGTTACTGTATGTCCGCGTCGCCATTTCAGTGTTATATTAAAGGGTGTGTTTACACGAGCCTGTCGAAGTTTGTAGATCCGTTACAGGTCCTTGTCCATGCGTGAACGATCATCAACGGATATTTTCATAAACAGTCTTTCGTGAAATAAATTTCCTTCTTGTGTGATCGAAATCCTAACAAGCATATGAACATGCCTCAGTAACATTGTTATTTTAGCTGTTTTGTGTGTAACCACACGGCTTCTCATAGGTTTGTGACGGACTCGTGTGAACATGCCTCAGTATCATTTTTATTTTAGCTGTTTTGTGTTTAACCACACGGCTTCTCATAGGTTTGTGACGGACTCGTGTGAACATGCCTTAGTATCATTTTTATTTTAGCTGTTTTGTGTGTAACCACACGGCTTCTTGGGTTTTTTGTAATTTGTACATAATTAACAATAGTGTGTGAGTCGTTTTGGGTCTCACCCAGTTTTTAGTAGTCGGTGATTTATTACTTGTGGTCGGTGATATAAAATAGCTAAAATGGCTGGAGCTTAAAAAATAGAACGTTTTAATTACTTTTTTATATAGACGTAATTTCTGTTTTATAGCCTGCGTGCATAAAAATGCTCTTCTATTGTCCTTCAGACTGTGATTCATCTTCTTGCTTTCCCTTCAATGGTCTACTTTTTCAGTGACGTCTGCACGTAAAACAAAGCATTCAATGGTTTCGTTGATTTAACAGAGGGGAACCAAATTTTTCAAATTAAAATAATTAAAACGAGCTCCGATTTTTGTAACCAGGATATTAGTGTTGATTTTACAACAACTGAGCGGTTGTCCGAGCGCTGATTGGTGGAGTATGTACCATGAAAAAGACGTTTAGCATGCCGTAATTTGTTTTTCCTTTCTCACGCGCTCAGGTTTCCAAGAAACTTCGCCAAAAAATGGGCGATTAAAAAAAGTAGATATTTTAAATAAAAACAAATAATATAACCGTGACTAAGAAAATGGGTAATTTTTAATCAGTGTGTGACCTAGATTTGTTACCTCCAATAGTTTAAAACGTGTATGTTTTACGCGCATTGATACCAGCTTACTGCGAAACTGAATAAATATGTTCACTATTATCGAATAGTCAATAATGTCCATTGCCACTATTATAGATCTAGACCACAGAACTGACGTCAAAATGTTCGAATTTCATTTGGAACGGCGAGTGGTTACATTGCAAAGTTTTGAACATCTTGACCACCTGTGCCTCTATATATTCAAGTAAGAGTCGATAAGAGTGGAAACTCGGCAAGAGCATTGCCGTCAAACCAAAGGTCTGACTTTCTATATTTGCCTTGTTTACGGGTAAAGACGCGTTTTTTAAATAAAGGCAAATCTTGTTAGTAAAGACTTTATAGTAAAGACTTTATTTTATGAGGGTTAGCACGAAATAGTCGGGGCTACTAAACTTGTATTGGATTAACACGGATACTCTGGGGGCCATAGAAAGTGTCCTCTGGGGGCCATAGAAAGTGTCCGTATTAATGCGGGCAGAGTTTAAAGAAAATTTAAGGGCTTTCTTTTCCCAGGGACAAGAAAAACTGTCCGTATTAAGCCGGTGTTCGTAAAGCGGAGTTTGACTGTACTTTCCCGAAAGGTGAAACAGAGATTATCATGTTGAGAGCGTGGTACCTTAACACGCACCAATTCCTGTTTCACTATCGCCGTGGGTTGATGATTGCGGGTGTTTTGCTGTTTATTAGTTTCAGTCCAAGGTATTTATTGTAGCTGCAGTTAAAGTTTCTAGATTTTAGACATATTTTGAATATGTTAAACCTGTTCTTCCTTGTTGCACGTACTTATGTGATGTTATTTCAATAAGTCATAAAAGAAATAAAAGTGTTTTGCACTCTAATCGTTGTTTGTCGTTTAACCCGCCGTTTATTGTGGCATTCTTAAACCCTTAAACTAATGACACCATAACAGATTTTTACTTTTTCGTTCCAATTCCAGACAACGTTCTCCTGCCTGATAACTATTGCTTGAGGGGTTGTAACTTGAACTCTATTTCTGCTAGGTTTTTCATGTTAAACGCAGGATTTTTGCTGGTTTATATCACGAGACGTATGTTATCCAATAAGATCGAGGTACCACTTAAAGATGGGTCCAGATTAACCTTGTTTGCAGGAAACGGAATTGTTAGGGTTAAGCAATCACTTCTGTAGAGTTAGTTTGGTAGGACTATCGCTTGTTACGCCGCACGGTAACTTCTGACGCAAATGAAAGCGAATTGTAGCAACGTTTTACCCAAAATGTAACAACTTTTTGAACTCGAAATTCAACAAGACTGGGGCAAAGTGGAACAATATTTTTAAAGGCAAATATAACAATGCAAAATGCAACAGCATTGAAATTACTTGGACAAATACTATTTTGTCAAAAATGTTGCAACTGTGCTGCGGTGAAAGCCCTCTCGTGAAGCATCACTGTTATTGTTGCAATCGCCACAAAAGGCCAAAACAGTTTCTCTTGGAAGGATAACAACGGAGTTGAACTTGACAACTATCTTCTGACGCGCGCGTCAGGAAAGGCTTGAAATTGATCAGCACTGTTCTGATAGAATTCAGCACCGAGAAGGGGCAAATTATTTTTTAAATACTTCCCACTTACATAGGTAGTGTAAAGTTCATATTTTGTATCACCAAAATGAAAATTCCTTAAATAGGGTAATTCAAACTTCCACTTGTTGTTGAAGGTGGGTCGATATAGCCGGAAGTCACTTCCTCCCTCTTCAGCCGGCCCCCGCCTTTCCCACCCAGGAATCAGGCTCACCGTGGCGCTGACAGCTTCGCAGAGCAGAAATGTATTAAACTTTACTCCGACATTTCCCCGTGAGGCCTCATGAAGTTGCTCCGTTTTGCAAATAAGATAATTCCTGAACTGCCTGCCAGGCCCTCTGAAAAATATATTTAAAAAAAGATAATTTTTGATGGCCGAGGAGCGCACCTTTCCATTGCTTTAGAATCAGCAGGTCATTATCAATGGCGGTCAAGGCAATGGAATTGGGGCAACAGTACGTCATCAGTTTGAAAATAATATGCCGTTCAAAACGATAGAAAGATTTATTGCTAAGAAATAAGTTTGAGGAGACTGTTTTTTTGGTAATATTTCGGCAGACTTATATTTGTATTTCTTCATTTCTAATCCACTCAGATAATTGCTCACGGCAATGGGAAGTTGCATAGGGAATTCGTCTCCAAAAGCAGTTCCATTATGCACTCAGCCCAGTCTGAAGTGCAACCTCAAAATAGCCATGAATGCAAAATAACTCGGTTATAGAGCAATGCCTGTTGAAAAAGTACCACTGATTGTTTGCCCATTCGTGTCGAGTCACCTGGTGAGTTTTTGAAAACAATCACACTGATCGAGAAGGCCTGGGAAGACGCCGTACAGGAGCTAAGCAACATGATTGTCAGTGGGAGCATTTGAAACGGTCCCACACCACTAGGAAGTTATTTAGAAAAAATTACAATAAGAATCGTTTTTTTAAACTTAGAAAAAATTAGAATAAGACATCCTTTTTTAAAGTCTAATCCAGAAGACTACCTTATTGGGAAGTACCAGAATCCTTCCAAGAGTTTTCGATTGCCGAGTTTACTGGCCATAATTTCCTAATTCTTACACGCAAACTGCGTCATTAAGTTGAACATCAAAATTGTAGTGCGGATTCTTACAGTTGGGTTATCGCATATTTTGTTTGGTTACGTTTTTTGACCAAAAAAAGACCCAGTTTAATGAAATAACAACTGTCTACCTCCATTATTTAAGTAGAATAATACGCTTTTTGTATACGACGCAGCGCATTCTATTGATTTCACTTCCCTTTACGATTAACTGACGTCATTACTTCTTAATTTATCATGCTGGTATCTTGGTGATTGGTTGATTGAATTTAAGCCAATATTTGGAATGAATATCAGGCTTCCAAGGTTCACTAGTCATTACTGAGTACATTTATGAAACACGTCTGCAACAAACGTTAAGTTGTCATGGCAAACACTTGTGCTTTACGGCTTCGAAATTCCACTCGCTATCTTTTTAGCATCTCCTTTTTCTTGGCAATATTCATTATTCTTGCCTTCATCGATTACGAAAGCATCTACAAAGGAACAAATAGCGAGCCAGTGTCGAGATATAAACAGTCACAACTACAAAGGAAAGTTCCCGGAAGGTATGATGGCGGTCAACGAGAACAGTCATGGCAAGTAGAAAGCGGAGACTCCAAAGGTCTACGGGAACTGATGAGTCAGTACGCGGAAGCTGGTGTAACTTTGACTGAGGCTGATAAACCAAATTTGCCGCATACCCCGGCGGAGCAAGATGGAACATTACCTTTTAAAAAAATGTTTGCAAACGCCGAAGAGAAAGACAAAAAAAGGAGAAAATCATTGAAATGGAACAACATGATAGTTCCGTTAACTGATTTGAAGGAGGAAGAAAATAAACACGAAGTTTTGCTGCTGGTGATAGTATCAAGTGCACCTAGAAGATATGACAGAAGAAACGCCATCAGACAAACATGGATGAGCAAATGCGACACTGGAAAGGTAGTTTTGATGTTTGAATTTTTAGATATGAGGTACATGAGATACAAATGGATCTCATATACGTTCATGGGTGCGGTGAAATGAAAATGAGAATGTTAAAAATTGCATTTTGGGGGAGGGAGGGGGGGGGGGCAGCCTAGTGCACTGCCTACTTTAAAACGATTCTTTTTTCAGCATTATCATATTTTAAGAGAAGAGTTTTCATCAGAGAGTTTCAAGAGTTTTTTATATCGAAAATAATTATAGTTGTGAAAAGTATTTGATAAACTATTCGAGCGTAATATACAAAAGCACTTTTATTTAGCTTTGGCTCCGATGAAACCTAACCGAGTTTCAGATCTTTTTTTGTTCGTCCTCGTTGTTTTTTTCTTTTCTGTGCGATAAGAACCAAACTAAAGCATTGAAAAGAAATAATAGTATCTTATTGCCACTTTTATGCTGAAAAAAATAATGGTTTCTCAATGGTCACAAGTGCACGAATGATTTATTATTTAAATTTTAACTGAAACAAAGGAAAAACCAGTAAGCTGAATAAATATGAGAAAATATTTACCATAAATATAATAAAAAAAATTAACGAAGTTTTTGGAGTATTTTGTGGTGTGTCCGTTAACTGAAAAAAAATTTAAGGAAATATTTATTTTCCATGATAAGTATAGTTTTCTAGTGTGATGCATGCGCTAAGACTTTTGAAAGTAGAATTTTTGACGAGGTTTTTATAGCATCTCACTGCCCCTTTTTATGCTGAACAAAATGAATGGCTTCTCATTGGTAAGAAATGAATAAACTATTATTCAAATTCAGTGTAATTTAAACAAAAGAAAAAGCTGATTAAATATGAAAAACTGAATATTTACCAAAAATATAATAAAAGGAAATTAACGAAATTTTTGGAGTACTACTTTATGATGTGTATGAAAACATACGTATATTTCATGAATGTTTAACATACAAGTGAAAAAAATAGAAAATAAAAAAGGGGGGGGGGGAATAAAAATTAATTGAAGATATATTTGGAGGTATTTGTGGATTTCTGGAAAATATATATCTATAAAGGTTATCTCTGTTGATTCTGTGATTTTACTGAAACGAGGAACGGTCATGTCAGGGGAAATGGGAACCTTAAATAAACCTGAGCCCTCATGATCAGTGAGCCAGCCCACCAGCTCACCATTCAAAACTGAGATCAGTGATCTTTTCCAGGCTAGATGCATCTTTTTCACAGACGGCCTTCAGCTTGAAGAAGCTCAAACTTCAAAGCTACTTAAAGAACTAAGCATTTTTAAAGACATCAAGTTCTCACCCACAGATATTGACGCCATGATATTCGGAGAACGCTTTCTTTACCAGATATTGTGGGCGAAAGCAAAGTTCAACTTCCAGTTTCTCTTACGCGTTGACGATGATTACTTCATATGTATGGAAAGACTTTTGTACGAGTTACCTTTTAGACCAAAAAACAACCTTAGCTGGGGTGTGTACCATTGTCATGATGAGGATTTAGTTTACATGGATGAATCATGGGCGCTGTTTTCTCAAGATGTTATCCAGCAGTTTCTGTCTCAAGATCCTCAGACAATGTTATGCCATCCTTTCGGAGATCAAACTTTTACTTTGTGGATAAACGCGTCAACTCTAAATCTTAACGATTTTAATGATCACAGACTCCATTACTGGCCACCTGCAGGAAAATTGGAGAAGTTTTATTCTATTAAGAATGTTTGTGACAAGTTCCTGGGAATACATGGCAGTTACCCGGATGTAATGCGGTATTTGTGGTTAAACAACAATGACAGCCCTAAGGATATAACTGATCTAACGCTATTAAGAGAGTCTTGCTTTTTCCAAAAGGTTTTCGACGTCAATAAATTTAAAGGAGTATATGGTCACAAACCAAGACGTTGTCTAGAGAAACCTCGCTGGGTTTCGATGCTTAAGTCTTGGGAAGGTAGTGAGAGTCTTGACTTGACAAGATAAAATCATAACCTTAGTCAGGCGCGAAAGATTTAAGTCGCATTTCGTATTACTACGTTAACTGCTAGAAACTAATGCTCTCAGGTAAATAGTGAAAATAACAAACATGACAGAGGAAAAAAGTTCATTCTTAAGTTAAATTGAAGCTATATTCTGTCGATTACAAATTAATTTTGAAGGCTGTAAGTAAAAGTGCAAGAAAAGGTACTTCAAAAATTAGGGTTACCCTCAGTGCTTTCTTGCCCATTACCAGCTTCTCTGTCATTCGTCAGTATGTGTTGCTTCTTAGTTTCTGTAGCTTGATACAAGATTGTTATACTAAATTAACGGTAAATTAAATGACAGCATGTCAGCCTGGTGTTCATTGCATAGTCACTCCCTTGTAAAGCTGAAAACCAGCGGTTGCACGTCCATGGAGCTTTTAGCCTGCGTACCAGGCGCTTGGAAGGAGTGGGCGAAAGAGAGAGCGGGCGCGCGCGAGGGAGACGCGCGTGTCTTCTTCTCGCGCGCCCGTTTTTTCTTGTGCCCACTACTTCCAAGCGCCTGCTACGCAGACTATGAAGCCTTCCGATCTAAGTAACCTGGAGGAACGTAAAAGAAAGGCAAACATTTTTCTCTTAGTTATTGTGTCCACGGCCCTATCTAGACAGAAAAGAAGGGCAGCCATTCGAGAAACATGGTGGAACAAATGTCACAGCGACGGCAAGGTAAATTACTATATATGCCTTGGCTCTTTAAGTGAACCTTCAAGCTTTAGCTGCTGGTGCCCAGCTGTGTATAGTTAAAACTCACATGCAGTATATACCGTCGGCTAAAGGAACAGTAAAAGAAAGGCAAACATTTTTTTAAAATCCGCAAAGGACTCCTGAAGAACAAGTGTGACTTGGGGTATACTCTGGGGGGAAGTAAATTAAAAAAACTTATGTTAATCTAGTTTACAATTGATATTTTTTTCAGAACAGTCGTTTTATGGAAATTATTCGACATTAGATTCTCATACAAACACTGTTATTTCTCACACGTTTGCCTACTCGTCAAGATGGCTTCGAAAACCGTGACAAGGTCTATTTAAGATGAAGTGTTCAGTTGTGTTTCTCAAACTCTGATTTTTACGGTCTCTTCTGCTTTTAAAAGGTCTCCAGTAACCGAAACAAATGATGAACTTTCTTGCATATTTGGAATTGAGCTTCTAGCCATTAAAACTCTGAACAGAAAAAAGAAACAAGAAACAAGAGTTGCTTGTCTCGCCGGCTTCCCTCTCCATGTCTCGACATACGCATGCTAAGCATGAACCGAATCTTAAATCTCCGTCTTAAAATATTTGTAAACACTTTTTCTACACGAGAATATAATAAAAGCAAAGCTTCTGGCAACACCTTCTATCTGCAATTATATCAGTACTGTACAAAAAGTAAACTTAACCTGCCTCGTTTTCCTATGCCTGTCACGGCTTTATATTCATTCGTCACATTTTTAACAGGTTGCATTACATGTTGAGATCAGAATGTACAATTATTATACATTACAAAACCTTTTGTCCTAAACTCAAAGAGACATGCAAAATTGACTCTGCCACCTGAAAGTTATACCAAAAAAAAAGGTTTTCGATTCTGTTATGGCATCACTAAGGTTGGCTGTTATTACACTGGTCACCTTTTCACTGCTCTTGAGCTGTGTGCAAAGTGAAAGAGGTGGGTATCAAAAGGCATATTTTCCCATGTTTTGTTCACAAAATGACATGTATCGATCTAGTGCACTTATTAATACTGGCACAGCGGGGCTGGTGCTTTGGGATATACAGTACCGACTACGACTTTTTTCTTTGTTTTCAAAATTTTCCTTATTCGATAGTTTGATGTTGCAAGTACACATTGGTACTATAAAGGTGTCTTGAAATCTATAACGATAAAAAAAATATTTAGCGACAGCTATACTGTTATAGTCCCATCCAGCCATCTTTTAAAGGAATGCACACGAAGAAATTTGCGCGAATAATGAAAAAATACAAAAGGCTTGAGTCATAAAAAAAAGAGTTTCAAAGTGAAGTTGAGTGAATTGTTATAAAGATTAAGATTTCAAGAAATTGGAGGTGGGAGGTGGGGGGCAAAGAAGTGAAAACATATAAAGAGTTGCTGCTGAAATTTAAGTGGTAGCACTAACTTCGCCGATCCAAGAGCTGTTCAAAATATCCATCCCTAAAGCGAACGGTTTTGGGCCAAAGAGGCTATTAAATGCAAATTAATTGAAAATATCAAAAAATGTATTGATAATCGAGAGAAAAAGGATAAGTGTTCGACTGGCTGACAAGAAACCTGAATATTTAATCGCCGCAATGAACAATCTTATTATTGCCGGTAATGGATCAATACTAATCAGTAAAAGTGTTTCTAAATCTTCAATTCACAAATGCACATTTCAGATTCTACTTCGCATCCTAACCTTCCCGAAAACTGGGGCATTTTTTTGCTTTATGAGGGTTGCTTCCAGTTGAATGAAACTCCTGCGAAAGAACGGACAGATGCCGAGAACAACAACCACGTCTGCAATGATTACTGTGACAGGGAAGGAAAAACATTTTCCGCGACCATTGGTGAACGATGCTTATGCTTTGACAGCCGCCCGGCAAACAGTTTGTCAAAAGGTGAATGCGACACTTCGTGTCCAAAAACTCCCCCTACAGATGCTAAGGAAGGTTCATCGGGTTGTAAAGATCTTGGATGTTGTGGTTCCACGGAAAACAGCGCTGTAACAGTCGTTCAGACGATAAAAATCAGCCGAGAACAATTAGGTCTCAAGAAACATGGTAAGAACCCATAGACTTCTGTTTTAACTCTGTGAATTTGAAATGCGAACCGCAGTTTTAACTGAAGATGGGTGACATAAAAACGCTGAAAGCATGTTACTCAAAATAATGGGTTTATTGATAACTATACACCATCAATCTAACAAAAAACGTTTCTCTTTCCAAGCCAGAGGATTTTTTTAACTTCAGCGCGTTCACTTTAGCTGCGCTAAACGAAAAAACGTTCAAAGAGTTCCTTTATACTAATGTTATGTACAAGAAGTGGTCAAGATCCAAACGTAAAGATTAAGTATGCGCTATATATTGAGCGCCACAAAACGTTTTTATTGTATTTCTATTCTACATTCTGTGAGAGTGAAACTGTTTTCTACAATAAAGTGGAAAACATGTATGAATATACATCTGATTTCAGTTAGGACTGAAGAATTTATCCATTGGCACGTGTTCTTCACCATGCACCATGCAGTTTTCATTATATTTTAGTAATGTTATTTTTTTCTTAACCTACCCGTGAGATCATGCACCTCGCAGCAGGCACATGCCCGCCAAGAACAAAGACGGCTTTGGGAGTTTTATAGACCCTAAAGGATGCTTCAGACGGAGTGAAAATCCAGCGAAAGAAAAGCCGCGCAACTCGCAGAATGTTAACGTCATTTGCGTTAACTTCTGCGCCGAGGAAAATATAACTTATGCGGCTACCATTTCTGATCGATGCCTTTGCTTGAACAGCCTACCGTCTGAAAAGCTTGAGGACAACCAATGTAGTACTCCCTGTCCAGGTAAGAAAAGTGATTAGTGTGTCACTAATTTCCTGGCAGTTCAAACCAAGAAAGACACACTAACTATAACGCCGGTCATGAAAGGTCTTACTGATAAAAACTATATATAGCTCAGGGTCAATTGACTCCAACAATTCAGTGGGTCCAGCATACAGTGGGGTTTGTGTAATCTATTTACTTTCACTTGGAAGGCTAAAAATTCTTCCTGTGATTATATGTTATTCAATGACGTTTTCATTTGCTCAGGGTATGGATCCAACGAAGATGGTCCATGCGAAGGGTGGGGTTGCTGTGGTTCTTTGGACGAGGATGCTATATCAGTGTATGAGATTGTCCCAGCAGCCTGGGATCAAGAAACAAACGGAAACGAAGATGTGACTAAAAAGTACGAGACAAAATAAACTTGTTAAGAGAATAAATCTCAAAAATCGCAGTGCTGTTTTTATTTCGTCTCTCAATAGTGTCCCACTTTTGTGTTACTGTTGGAGAAATCTCTCGTCTCTGTTACTATGACTACACAAGGCTGCGCTCTGAAGCCTTCGTTCGAAAATAACTACAGTGAATGGACTTTATAGTTACCTTGTCCACGCAGTTATAGTTATACAAAATGTAATTTGAGCAATTTAAACATCATTACTGATCAGCTAAAAAAACTTTTGGAATTGCAAAAGAGACACGATAAGAGGCCGCCAAAAACGGTAATGTTCTCTAATAAGGACCTCATTCGTGAAAACATTCAGAATATATGATTCAGTCAAAGAACTTCTCGGAATTTTTTATTTGATGCCTCACATTATCCATGAAGATCCTTAACTTCTCTTACAAAAACCCTTATCACTGCGACAAATCAAAGAAGAGACTTGTCAAAGATGAATTTAAATACATTCTACTGTACTTAAAAAGCCACAGTGCGTTTTCCAGATACTGAATTTGAACAAAGACAATTTGAAAAGCTAAATCGTAAACAAAGGACATAAAACACAACGAAAAGTGTTCCACCTAGTAGCCAGACTTCCAACGATCCTCCACTCATCAGAGTTGCTATTATAGCTTTCAATAGTACTAGTCCCACCACCTCCAAATACAAACATCATATCTTGAATAACTCCCAGGCCAAAATCACGTCGTGGATAATTTGTGGAAGTTATAAAATTCCACGAGTTCGTTGCTGGGTGAAATACTTCAGCCGACTTCAAAGGAGCTTTGTGCCCATCAAGACCTCCAATAACGAAAATTTTATTCTTCATCACTGCAGATTCGTGACGAAAGCGTTCCTTTTTCATGGGCTCAACCTTTTCCCATCGGTTGCTCGCAGGATTGAAACACTCAACCGAGGCAACTGCTAGGTCCCCTGGGATTGTAACTCCACCTATAGCATATACTTTTCCCAGAACGCCAACAGCTCTGTGACAGCTCCTGCGCATGCTCATGCTGGGGAGTTGGTTCCATGTGCGAGTCGCGAGGTTGAAACTTTTTGCGCGCTTTCCGCCCCCAACAACATAAATAGAGCCCATACTCTCACAAACGGCACAATCATTCTCCTTTGTTCCATTTCCGATCTGGTACCAAGAATTCAATTTTGCATCATACTTTTCCACTCGAGTGCCACCTCCCAGCACAACATATAATTCTTCGTTTACGACAACAGCAGTACCAGTGGTTGGCGCCATTCCTGTTACTGGGCGACAGATTCCATTTTCAAGATCAAAAGTCTCAATCCGGCTCGATAGTTCACCAATCAAGTAAAGAACATTTGGAGACTTTCGCCTTAAAGCTAACTTCTTTTTATTGCTTGATGGAGAAGCCAAGTCATTTATGACTTCCTCTATCAGCTTCTTCCAGTTATCTACAGCAAGAACGAGCTCGTCTTTTAAGACAATGTTCATTAAGAACTCTTTCCCCATGCAAGGGAAACGAACCAACTCAAATATACCCTACAAGATGTTCAAAAAGGTGTGTTAAAGAATGAAAGCCACGACCATGACAATGACGTGCATTTAGTCTTCTTATTTTAAGAGTAATTTTAAGTCCATGCAGTTTTTTTCTAGTTTGAAATTTTCTCACTTTTGTGTGCACTTTAATTGAGGACATTAGCTTGTTCAGCATGTCTGGGAATTTAAGAGAAAAAATATTTTGTTTTGTGTGGGTGTACACTGCACAGCAAGTAGCATCTGGGGGGGTGAAGGTTTTACTGAAGGAGTCTCAAAGGAATGGCTTATAAAGTGGGTAACATTTTGGAGATAAATGTGTACAGAACAGCAGCAACAGAAAGGAAAGTGTGGGAAAAAACGAAAAAAATGAAAGTATTATATAAAGTGTCCAATGCAGCATTAATTGACACTCAATTCAAACCTATATGTTTATGTATGTACCACTAGGGGCTAATAAGCTGCTTGTTCCCTACAAAATGGTGTGGAAACAACACTCCACCTTTAAGAATTTTAAACCATACTTCAAATCCTAAAACAGCAATCAGATCAGACGCTTTAAGCCACCAAACAGTCACCTAATTGTCATATGAACATCTGTCTAATGTCCTTCAAATTTTGAATGTTTGGGACCCAGACAAGTCATGCTTGGCACCCTATTAGAACATAATTATTTCTTTGCCCATGTCCACACTTAAATGCAACTAACAGTATAACAGACTTTCAATATCAGTGGCTAATATAAAATTATACTGGATATATTACTTCTCCTCTTTCTGATCATACTAGTGGGGGGGGGCAGGGGGTCACAATCTCCCGCTTCCTATACCCCATTCTCCCGCCTCCCGTACTTTTTTATCCTTTTGTCTCCCGACTCCCACCCTTTATTGTGTTTCTCCCGTTATCCTGTAAATCACGCTGTTTGACTCTCTATTATAATAAGGAGTGCTTTGGCCTTGTCCAAAATAAAAAAATTGTGTTGTAAATCAAAACACTCTGCACTCTCCAGTGCGATCATTGAAGTGGCTTAATTTCCTTCAACACAAGTTTACACCATGCGGCAAAATCTTCAGTGTTTTGTGAACTACAGTCGCACTGAGCGCGCTCCCAGGAATGTCTTTCGTGGACGGATTTTTCCCCACCACACCAAAAAATACTGAGACCAATCAAAATGGTATTTGATGACATTTGACCTGACTCGCTTTTTTGTTCTTACGGAGAATTTCGACAGCTAGCAAGACAGACGAGACACTGACACGACTGACACAGTCGACATACGTGCGACATGTGTCATGCCATCTCATTCATCTCCTATGATGTAAACGACTTGGAAAGGTTTTTAATTTCACAGGAAGTAATGCTATCTTTTTTTATCCCGAGTATGAATATTCGTTTTTTGACTTTCTCGCATATAAAATTTTGCTTTAAGCCTCGGAGAACGTTAAATGGAAGTCCAACCTTGTCCCCAGGGACAAGGTTGGACATCTAAGCTTACAAAATACAGCTTACCTGGAACCTGATTCTTTCTTCTCTGTCATACTTGTACCATCTGATCACAGCTTCATATATATCTTCCTCCATTTTAACATGCAACCGATCACTTCCCACTATCTTGCTCAACTGTTCAGCAGGAATCAAAACAAACTCGTTCTCCCGTGAAACATCGATAAAATTCCAACTGATAAAGCTGCTAACTTTTGATTCAAGTTGATTCAAGGAATACTGCATTGCTAGTGACTGAATTCCGAGGCAGTTTTCGACGCGGACAAGCGTTTCTAAGAAATTAGAGCATTCCTCAACCACTAAAGGGAGTTGGAACAAAGCGGCCGCGCGCAGCATACTTTCTACATTGGAATCAGTAATAGTAAGCTTACAAGTGTAAAGAAACTCCACAAGTTTCTCTACGACGTTTTCATCACAGTCTTGTAAGGATATTGTTCCCAAATTGCTCTCAACAAACCCAGTTGTCAGCATGGCTCGAAAATACGGGCTGCAAGCTGCTAGTATGACTCGATGAGCCCGGATTTCCCTTCCGTTTACTTTGAGCGTGACATCACATAACTCGTCGAAGGATCGCATCTCATTCATTACCAAAAAGGAGTCTTTTTCATGGTCATCCGTGATTTCTAGAACTTTATCGCCACCACATTCCTCAACGGCAGCCATCTTGTAGAGTGGCAGGTAATGACATAGAAACTGGGACCTTACATAGCGTAGTAACTAACTGCTGGTATACAAACATTGGAGGCTTATAAAGTGAAGTGAAACATGGCATCTGACCAGGAGACTTCGGCAAAAACCAATGTGATTTGTGACAAGCTTGGGGAAATAGAATTAGAATGCTTTGAAATACGAAAGAGTACCTCAGGTAATTTTTACTGTCCCCTTAGAATATTATGATTTAAGTGGGAAAGTGGGGTATTTCGCCTTGTGGAATCCGGAAATTTGGAATCCTGAAATTATAAGGCTCGGGGAATCCGGAATCCCAGTAGTAATGTAACAATTACAATCGGGAATCTAAGTTCCAATGCCAAAGAATGCCAAATCCAGAGCCCGAAATCGGGAAACCATGGCATGGAAATTAAGCTTGTCTAGGATTCCCAGTTACATTTGGCGAGAGATTCTTATGGGTTTGTCATGCAAAAAATGTCCCTCATGAACCAGAAAAGATTAAAGTGATGACGCTTGCCCTCTGTCAGCCCCATTCTCCTCCACAAAATATCAGGAATGATCTATTTATCCTTTCCCACTCTACTAAGTGAATTTTTTTTTTTTCATACCCCCGGGGGGGGCACTTGGGTATTTTTTGGGTGGGTATGTGCCGCCCGGGACTCCAAATTGGTACCCCGTAGTAGAAAAAATTTCCCCTAAAATTGATACCCCGTCCTAGAAATGGGTCAATTTTTTATACCCCGTTCTAGAATTCGCCCTAAAACTGATACCCCGTTCTAGAAATGGGCCAATTTTTTATACTCCGTTTTAGGGTGCAACAAGAGTACAACGGTTTGCTTGTTAACGCATTGAACCGTTTTTTTTAAAAGCAATCTGTCCTTGAATACTTTCAGTGGCTGCTTCCAAAAGCGGAGCTTTCGTGCGTTCGAAATATTATACCCCGTTCTAGAAAACGCCTCTGAAATGGATACCCCGTTCTAAATCAGGAGCTTCAAAATCACGACCCCTTTGGGCGGCACATACCCGTATAGGTAATGTATGGGAGTACCCCCCCCGGGTTCATACCCCTCTTCCGTAGGGTTGATGGATGGGGGCAGGGGGTGGGGGTAGGGGGGGTGATATTGAATGTGAGTAGTTAGTTAATCATACTCTGACTTTTATTGCCTTTAACCTGATAAAAGGAATGTAACCAAGAATTTGTTGTTGTTGATGTTTTTTCATTTTCAGATTTAAAGGAACTTGAATTATTGGATAAAGTACAGGACAAGTATAGATCTTGTGGTCATTTGCTTGAAAAATGGTAAGATCAGCCCTAGGTGCTGGAAACAGACAACAGACCTACTTTGCCTATACCAAGATGTAAATGTAGTAGTAAAAAGCCTAGTAATCTTCCACATTGATAATAATCACAGGAGTCACATATTTTATTGATCGTCAAAACAGGAAAGATGCAGCAGAGAAAGAGGAGGTGCTCTGCATGATTCTACAGCAGTATTCACAGGTACGGTAAAGACAAAATATAGTGAAGTAGACCTGTACTTGACCTTATATGTTTTTGCTGATATAAGAAAGAAGCTAAACTGACTTTGAATGTTTCAGGCAGTTCTTGATTTAACATATGTCATAGAATGTCGACTGGTTAATGACGACTTTCCACAAGACAGAAGTAAAGAAGAAATTGGACATGTTGTAGGTAACTAGAGACTGAACTAGATATAAAATCTGTCAAAATAGAGAAATCATTTGATTATCGGTTAAACAAGTGGAAGTTTAATTATTTAGTGCATCCTCTTATACCTCTGTTATTTCTATTATGTACAGCAAAAACCACTGTTCCTCAAGTTTAACTCAATAGACAATTTTAGGTTTATATCTGTGGACTATTTTATTTTAACATTTTTGTGTCTTAATTAAGGTAGGCTAGACCAACCTCAGCAACTAGTGAAGGAAATTTTTGGACAAGATGGTCAGGTAAAGGAAATAAGTTACCCTTTAACTTACAGTATCCACATCAAGTTAATCATTAGGTAGTCAATGAACGAAAATAAAAGCACCAAAGAAAAGTCATGCCTGTTAATTATTATTATCATTATTATTATTCTAAAAAAAAACTTGAAATACAATGTTCTGTCATTAATCCTTTTTAATTTAGTCTTTGCTTTGAATGATAGGGGGTAGCTGAGTAATAAGAGAAGAAAAAAATAGAGATGCACTGTGTACCAAATTGGATCAAGAAATAGAAATAAGAACTCCATTGTTGGAGCAGCATTGGTATACCTTTATGTTTCCAAAAATAAACCTCCAATATACCATTAAAAGGGATGGGGTATTGAGGTTCAACATGTTACCGCTAAAACATCAGATACAATACAGTCAAACTTGCTTTATGTCATTTATCACAACCTGCTAAACCCTTGTACATTACAGACTTTCACTGCCAAAAATTGTGTTGTCATGTTCAGGGATTGTGTCATTATTCCCACAAAGTAGTAAAGTTATGGGAAGAAGTTAGCTAATTAATCTGGTCATGATAATACCTCATAGGGTTTTAATCAGTAAACTGCAAACTGTACAGTGGAGTGACACCTACTGGCAGTTGGTCTAGCAAAGAATATGAACTTGGCAATCCAGCCATTGAACAACATAGACCTCAAGCAATGAGCTCCCAAGGACAGTACAATAACAACACCCTTACCACTAGAATATGCTTTCTCCCAATAACAAATTATGTTTTAACTGTTTTAGGCCATTCAAGTATTAGGCATAGATATGGTGGAATGTCTGTATTGGAGGCGTGGTGCTCTGTGTTATATGTACTGCCATACAGTCTTTAACAATGCTCCAAGAGTGCAGCTCAATGAATGGGATTTCATTCAGGTATGACTCTGCCTTGAGCTAATGGCTTGCTTTGGTTATATTCTGGACCTGTCATTTCCTGGGAGAAGTTAGGTTGATTCACATGGAGAGCTATATAATTATGCAGGTTTATTTGAATACCATTGCTCCATTTTGCGTAAAATTGTTGAATGTCTGTGATTGGTAGTCAACTAACTTGATCACTGATCTTTTAGGAAACAGTGTGGAGCAATCTAACAAGTTTTTTTTTTTCTTTGAAGGAGGTAATCAGATTAATGTTGAATAACACTAACCAATTCACTGCGGTCAAGACATCTTTTGTTTCACTTCTACCTTGCAGTGTGCTGAGTCAGGAGTTGTTTATCTTGAGTCAATGCTAAGTGTCCGTTCACCTCTTGATGTGGACGAGTATGAAAACACGAAGGACTCTGAAATGGTGAAGTTTCTTCAAGAAGGTAGGTGGAGATACAACAGGTATGGTGACACAGGATCTAACTTGCATGCTGTTAAAATGATCTAAGAAGGGCCAATTGTCCCAGAAAAAAAATTACCATTTTTTGTGAAATTTAGCGAAGCGTCGCAGATAGCTCTGACTCATGCAGACCATAAAGACCTTTGTTGCTTACTCAGATGGAGAACATTACTACCTTACATGCTGTCGCCCCTTCTCGCCTCTCTGGTCCCTCTGTGATTCAGTCACTGGCTCCAGTTGAGTGAAACCTGTACTGCTTTGTTTCAATTCTGCTGCCAAGGCTGCTGGAGCATGTCCATAGGGCGTGGTCACTTAAAGTAGTTTATTTTTGCAGGTGTATTTAGCGATACCCACCTTCTTGCACTGATGTACGCAGGTGAGCTGTGTTACTGGCATTGGCAGATAACAAAGGAAGAAAAAGACGTAACTTTGAGGAAATTTGATTCAGTGGCAAGTGGGAGGAAGTTTCTGAAAAAATTTGTGAACATTGTCAAGGGAAATTTACAAGGACAACAAGGTTGGGACTGCTCCAGAGCTGAACAACTTCTCACTGAATTTCCTGTATCCTGATGTTTGTAACCCGGCTACTTGCATGTGAGTTCGATGCTGTTATGCCGGAACATTATCTTCTTACCCTGTTAGATTTTAATAAATGCTGAGGACAACAGCAGCGATTAGATCAAATTCTTCACAACGCAAGGAAGGCTGATAACACACCCAGCTGCACAAAAGAAATCTTCTCGATGAACTGATAAGAATACATATGTACTTAGCTACCGCCCTGTATCGTTACTGATAAAATTGTTGTTAAAGTCCCCGGTAGAATAGTTAATTTAGGACAAATGTTATCAGTAGGCAGCTTAAGCTGCAACGACGCCAACGGCAGTGAAAACGTCCCTAAAAGAATAAATTTGAGTTCTTTCAAACTTTATCGCGTCTATTTAGATCCTCTCAATTTCTCAATCTCAATGTTTCCTGAGGCGAGATTCTCGGGAAACAAAATTAAATGCTTCCCTCGGGACCAGTCATCAAGGGTTTATTGTTTTGTTTTGTTTTTTGGTTTTTTACGTTGTCGTTGCAGTCGTCATCTTGGATGCCTTAGCTCCCTATTTACTGTATTAAAGCTCGGAACAACAACAATTTTTGCCGAGTTACATTAGTATGGTGTTGCCTGGAATGATAATGCCAACAACAGGGAAAACTACAATAATAATAGTAATTTTCCGCCTAGCCAGTCCATAATAACTTTGTTAAATAATAAATTGGTAAATTCATCTTCCGCTTTAACAATCATATAATGGTCTGTTTTTTGTTTTTGTTTTTTGTTTGTTTGTTTCTGAGAAGGATTTTTCCCTTTCCCTTAAAGTGTTAAATTTCATTTATTTCAAACGCTGAAATAAAAAAAGGTACTTTTCTAAAATAAATACTAATAGGAAAAACGTTCAATAAATATTAATGATGCACAAAAGTGACATGTTGGAGTTGGAGTTTCTTTCCAAACGTTTCGGGCTAAGCCCTTCATCGGTGGAGTTACATGTACGTTCTTTACAAGGTTTGCATTCGCCATAAGTTAAAAAATAAGTGAACAAACTTTGTAGCCTGTTACGCAGGCGTTATGTTGTTAGGGGGAGACCGAACTAAACACGGGACGATGCTCAAAGAACGTCTGCTTCTTGGGAGGCTATGAAAAAGGGAATTTCATTTTTTTTTACTCATTTTTATTCCATTTTTTACTCATTTTTTCTTTTTCCCAATTTTTCCGCAGTTTTCTCTATGAGCTTCAGCTGCGCAAAACTAGATTTCCTAGTCGTCGTCAGGAAATGCCATTTTCTAAAAATTAATTATGACTTCGCAAGATTCTGTTGCCATGGGCATTATTATCAACTGCTCTGATCCAAAAGTATAATATCATATCTAATTGATGATTCTGCGAAACATTCGTATTTGGTATTCTTTGTTTGGAGCATTCAAGCATTCACTCACGCGATACACCCCACACTCTTGTGTTGTTTTAAAAACTGCTGTTTAAAAACGCAACATGTCTCCAGCAGTGCTAATAAAGGAACGGATCCCTGCAGTTTATGCTGTGTAAATCGGCACCAAGAAAGGGTGGTGAACTCTCTGATCCGTTGGCTATTTTCGAGGTTCAAGCTTCACCAACCGCTAATTTCTGTTACGTTAACGTATTTTGACCGAAAGCAATAGATCAACCACCCGCGCAGTGACGTAAACACACTGGGGAGAATGAAACCTCCTTCTTCAACTCGTTTTCAGGTTCGTTAAACACCACTGATAACCGTGAATATATCACCGCCTCATTTGGCCAAAGTCATCCTTAAAACGCAAACTTTTCAGTTAATTTTATTTCGTTAGGGGAGGGGGTTGAGTCATGCTGACTGACTGACGTCCTTAACCGCCTGCCCTGCGGAAGTTCAATGCAAAGTCAGTTTGGCGACAGCAAGGCCGGTACCATGACAATCCATGACAATGCAGGATATTTCGCGGGAAGACGTCCGTTTGTATGAGCCTCAGTAGCTACAAAAATTAACTAGTGATAAGTTTAATTTGCGAAGAGACAAACGCTTGATGAATTATAGTCAGAAAAATTGTTAAATTGAAACTAAAACTATTGTTTAAATAAATGTTGCTTGTACTTAAAAGTGTTTTAAAAGGAAAATCGTAACCTTAAATTAGCAAAACGTAATACTTCCTTTAGCTCGTCGTTGTGATACTTTCGTGTTCTTAATGGCAATCTGTGATTCGTTTTTAAAAAAGTCTTACATATTGTATCATAGCTCAGTGTCTGAAATAGTTTTTTGTCAGGCATTTTATACCGCCCTTTGCTGACAATGGTATCCTTTTATTTCTCTTCTGGTTCGTTGGTTTAGCTTTCTTCTTTGTTACGGTGGAATGCTTTGCTATAATATAAACTAAACTGCAGTATCAGGGTGAATTTGCTATGACCCCCTATACAGTATAATATAAAACAGAACGTCAAATTTTTTATTATCCCTTTTCCCCAACAACGGAATTAATGATACCTGAATAAATTTCGTTGATTACGAGATATCATGGTCGTAATAATTAGCGTTATAGGATGAGATTGCATTGTCATACTCGAGTCAGCATTGTTGCTTAAAAGTCAGTGAGCTCAGACTGGTGGATGGGTTTGTTTCAAGAAGAACTGTAGTCGCCCATCCACCTCACTGAAACTGACAGAATTGCATGCACAGTTGTATTAAAACAAAACTTATATAATGGCTGATGATGGATTTGCTTTTAGGTAAACTGAACTTCAATTAACATGTATCTAAGGAAGAAAGCATGTTTACAGTATTTTGTTTTTGTTCGTCTCCGGAAACGACTGAAACAAAAGAAATAACGGGCTTTATGTTAGTCTGTTACAGCGCAAGAATGATAACGAGAGGAGAGCTAATTGCATTTTCAAAATAATTAGAGTAATGGAATTGAAACTTCACGACCAACAGGCTTTAAATAAACATTTTAACAAAGGAGAACATAAAATGCTTTAGAAAGATTGTTTGTGCCTTTGTCTCACCAAGAGGCAGATTTACTTAACAAAATAAGGAAAGGCCTAAACGTTCTACACCATTTTCATAAAATCATTTCATTTACTTAGGAGAGCAAACAGTCGCATTTGAGGCACCATTTAAAATACAATAGTTTTTTGCGGTTTCTTTAGCGACTAATATCAAGTAGGGGTGTTCTTTGTATTAGGCTACTGGTTGTAAATATCTTAACAAAGAGAAGCGTCAGGGTGACGTGAATAAGAAACGAAAAAGTATTGGCCCTCTTTTGTGAGTATTCTAATATCATCAATAACCCCCTAAAGGGACAATTAGCATTAAGGCAAGTGCATCCAGTGTATTAATAGTTGATTTATAATCTGTTCACCCGTATATAAAGGTTCGTGAACTTAGAGGAACCAGTTGACGAACGATCTTCACAAGCACCACTTGATGAGAGTAATATTAGCTCCACACATGCCATAAGTAGTTGTCCTTGGTGGAATTGACAAAGAATTGAAAGTTTCAGCCGTTTGGGCATATCATTCAACGCGAGTAAACTGCTCGCTGCCTACGAGAGCTTCTGAGCTAAAGACTGACAGACATTGTGCGGTTCATAAGTTCACGCATTTAAAAAACTGAACTCGTCAAGTAAGATGGAAATAGCCATGAATTCACTTTCTGTACCTGAAAGTAAAAGGCGGTCATTATCGACGGTAAGAATAAACAAAGAAAAGAGTCGACGATCACACTCCTTGTGCAAGTTTGGACCTCTGAAAGAGAAATTGTACAATGAAAACTACCATTATTTAAGAAGGCGCAAGACATTCCTTCGTATGGACACCCCAAAGATTGTGATCGACTCTGCCGTCACTGAGGACAATCTTGATGATGCTGACAAGATGAACAACAATTATCTTTACGACGAAGGATTCTTGCATCCTTCATATGCTTTAGATGCTGCTGTTGCGAGCAATGATTCTCGTTTGCTTCACGGTGTATTGAGTGTTGGAAACGTTATGATAGACACTTGGAATGCAAGTGGTGGAACCGCTATGCATGAGGCTGCATTTCAAGGAAAAGTTGACTGTTTAGAAGTATTTCTTAATTTCGGTGTTCATGTGGACATTAGAGACAAAGAAGGCTGGACACCACTCCATGCGGCCGTATGTGGAGGTGACATTCGAGCTGTAATCTTTCTCATTCAGCACGGAGCAAGTTTGAAAGCATCCACAAAAGACGGACTCACTCCAACAGAAATCGCTATGGACACTAAAGACAAGAAAATGATTCAAGCCCTTTCGTGGCTCACGGCACAATCCAAGCGCTTTAGAACGTAGCTAGTGTGTTGTCTGTAGCTAACCGTCAAGACAAGACTAAATTTGAACTTCTGTAGCAACTCTTGAACTATTAAAATTCGTCGAAGTCGTGATTTGATTAAATCGGAACTGCAAAGGTTTCTAGACTACCCCTGGATCAAAAACAAAATTACCTGTTTATTTTTTTTCTTAGGGGGGGAGGGGGAGTTTGTCTGTTAATTTTAAAAGTAGTTACATTGAAGAACTGTAGACTGCTAAAGTCTTCCTGATGTCTTTGCTTAGAAATTTAAACGTGAACTTTTGGAAAAAATATTCTTTAATAGTTTCGAGATAAAATCTACCCTCTTGCTCTCAGCCGCGTAAAAACCTCTTTTTGTCTATGGCCATATATGGTAATTATTGTCTCTTTAGTAAAATCGAGCTGTACGACAACTTTTAACACGTTAGAAATGAGTTAAATCAATTGTATGATTTAAATTTTAACGTTTGTGTCCCTCTTTTACTTCATCCGCAATAGATACCATGAATAAAGATGCTTTTTCCCTCAAAGAGATCTGCTTCCCTGTGACAAAGTCTGCCGAGAGCCGGTTACTCCAAATACGCGTTTTAAACACCGACCGTGACTTATCTTAGGTATAACTATGAGTTGCCTTTTACCTGCTTTGAAGTATTGGTGTTCGTATATATCGTTTTTAACTTTGTAGTAATGTAAGTTTATATGTATAATATATAATTTGGATAGATATACACTTGCACTGTTTGTAAATAAAGGAAACGAAACTCGATGAATATTTTAAACAAAAAGTGCAATATACTGAGTGCGAAAAAATATAGCTTATCTAGTAAGAAATTAAAGAAGTAATAAATCATGATTTTTAAAAAAAAAAAAATAATTCGCGTCTTAGTTTTTTGAAGCTTTTGATTAATTCAGTGGCAGAACTAGCCTTCAACGTGAACTAACTAGAATCCAGTCAGATCCAGACCTTGGGAGAGAGAGGGTAAGATCATCCAGACCTTGGGAGAGGAGAGGGGCGGGCGCTCATCCAGATCCGGAGAGAGAAGGACGCTTATCCAGACCTTGAAACGGGAGGGAGTCCTGATTCAAAAAAGACATTTTTGCTGTCCTTCGGGGTTCGGTTTGGTCTATAAATGAGGTGAGGGTCTGGAACTGGAACTGTGGAATTGTGGTGGTGGTGGTGACAGGAAAAGAGGGAGGGTCAGAAAAATTTAAGCCACCATGATCGTGAGGGGATGCCGCTTTAATATGTCTTACGAGAATACAAACTATATACGAAAATCATAACATGATAGTATTTCCTGGCATACAGTATTATCAAGACAAGCTATTGAAAGTGTTAGTGTAAGAACCCAACTTATAAAACTAACAGCTCATGTTTGTCAAATATCTCAGAGGAACTTAGCCTCCTACACAGACGTTCTTAGGGGTCCTTTGGGCCAAAAGAACGTCTGCGGGGAAGGCTAAGAAGAACTGCTCTGTCTGACAGCAGTGCTGCCATCATAAATATCATGCGATCAACAACATTATATTATCGCCGTCGCAATCATCATCGTCATCGTCATGCCCACCATCACTATCATCATCCTCAGTCTCACCCATGGTAAATGTCATATAGGTTGCTTGATAATAAACAATTATTGGATGAGTTTTTTTGTGATATCCGGAATTATCAAGGTGGTGGTAAGTGTTACCAGTGATAACACGTACCGAGACCTTGATGATACATTGTTTTGAAATAAAGAACAACAAATACACCGTCGCAAGGAAGCGATTTGACATTGCTCTTGGAAATCATGCCTTGGGCGCAAAACTTACAGATAAGTTAGTTATCTGCTAACAGATAACTAACTTATCTGTAAGTTGCACTTATTTCCCGAATTAACTGTATCATCTTAGCCAATGATACCGGATAGATAGTGAATGCAATGTATAATACTGTCCTTTACACCCACAGTGAACAGTCCCTTGTCAAAGGCATTTGCCGATGTAACTGAGGCAACTAATTCTTTTCCTTCATTATAGGATTCTAGGGGGCCTATGAGCTCCGCATTACTATCATTACGCTGGGGTGCAATGGTTCTATAATTATCACTTTACAGTTAGCCTTCATTTGTTCTGTTTTGCTTTCTTGGCCTTTCTCTTGTTTTACTACTGTTT